ATAATATGCACAGATGTACACCACTGTCCTAAAGATGGTTGAGCCCATGGGGGTGTGGTTCTCTATAAAAATCTGTAAGGACTATGTTTGTGGACTGGGCGGTGATTGTCTAGAATGTCACAGCAGCTAGAAAAGAACTAAAAGCCATTTTCTTCATCGAGCACTAGATCCATTAAGGGTCAGCTTTGACATTAACTGAAGCATTTCGCAAAACGTTAAGAGCATTAAGTTCCATCCTGCTTGCTAGGTAAGAATTATGTATTAATGGGATTTGAGATTAAGCATGTGAGCCGGGTAATGACATTAGTTTACATCTCACTTAAGAAGCTGGCTTCTTAAATAGTTAGGCCTACTCATCCCTCCATATCACTGACGTAAAGGACCCATGCCAGCCTTCAGGGATTCCAGAACGTGGGTTGCTATGAAGTCAAGGCTGTTAATAGAGAAGTCAGACCTCTCCACAAATCTATGTGACTCCAGGGTAGTTTCCATTCTTTTGTGTTGCTGGGAGTTAGGAAAGGCTTTACTGAAAGGGGAGCATTTCAAGCTGAGTCCTAAGAGATAAAGAGCTCTGTAAGGATAAGGGAGATAATGTACAAAGGCCTAAGAGAACTTGACTATGAGATTTTTCAGTATGGCCCAAAATGAATAGGCCCTCTGCCAGCCTCTAACCTTATTCAGGAGAGACGTTTTTATTTTAGGGTAATATACCAACAAAAACATTCTTTCCTCTAGCTGAGTGGACAGTGGGATTGGCCTAGTAGTCACAAATAGAGTGAAGTTTCTTTGCACATTACTAGTCTCTCTTTCTCTTTCTCATGGAAACTAGTGATTTGAGGGTCTCTGAAGGCCACATCAAACTGTCTCAAAGCCACAGGAGCACAGAAAGGGCCAGAAGAGCCAGGTGGTGAAGGCTCATATCTGTAATCCTAGCTCCTCAGGAGGCAGAGATCAGGAGAATCTGGGTTTGAAGCCAGCCTGGGCAAACAGTTCAGGAGACCCTATCTCAGAAATACCCAATACAAAACAGGGCTGGTGGAATGGCTCAAGCAGCAGAGCTCCTGCCTATCAAGCATGTGCAAACCCCAATACCACAAAAAAAAAGAAAGAAAAGGCCAGATAGAGGTGGATGACAGAGCTGGTATTTACTGGGTCATTTGGGCCCTGCCCTGTCGAGAAGAGGGCCTGGTGAAAGGTACTACACTTCAGGTAAGGAAGAGTGCACTTGCTATAGTGTGCAAGACTGACTGGGAGAGAGGAGAGCCTCTCCTAGTGCAGCACCTCAGAGGTGACAGTAATCTTTAGGGCATAAACTGAAGTAAAGGGGAAAGCAGGGACATGATGTGGAAATATGTAAGCTAAATTTATAGGACTTGATAACTGATTGGGCACAGGAGTGATCTAAACCTTCAGATGATGCTTCCCTTTGCTGAAATGCTGGAGGGCAGGCAGAATACTGCCCTAAGGGTTTTGTTTTTGTTTTCGTTTTGTGTGGTGGTACTAGAGTTTGAATGCTGGACCTTGCTAGGCAGGTGCTCTACTACTTGAGCCACTCTACCAGCCCTCACCTGCCCTGCCCTAAGTTTTTGACAGGTGAGTTTGAGAGACACCCAGAAGCAAATGTGATAAAGATGAAAACAAAAATGAGGATGGAGGTCAGGGCTGGAAATAAATTTTTTTTTTGAAATTTGCATATGAATGTGTTGGGGAGCACTCTAAAAGGAGATGGGCAGACCCCAAGGAAATGTATTCCCCACAGGTAAAGGAAAACAAGGAACACATCTGGCCAAGGGTAAATATTTTCAGTGTTTAGAGGAAAAAAGTTATTAAATTTTTTTAATTTAAAAAATATTTTTAAAGGAATTATGTATTTTAAAGAAAAAAATAGGATTATGACAAAAGTCAGGTTGTTTACCTGGCACTTTAACTAGACTGATAATGAAAAATTAATCATGGAACCATTCTTTTTTTAAAAAACATTTTTATTAGTATATAAGTTATAATTATACAGGGGTTTTGTTGTGACATTTCCATATATACATGTTATATCCCGGGTTGGTACATCCCCTCCATTATTCTCCATCCTACCCTATTTCCCTTAAAATAACTTCAGTGTGCCATACTCATACATGTATAGAAAGTACCTCAACCATATTCACCCTCCTTTATCCTCTTCATTCTCTCTTCCCCTCCCACTAGCAACCTCCCCTCAACACAACCTGTTCTACATTCAGGTCATGTTCTACATTCTTGTCCTTCATTGTTTAAGTGACTGACCATTGTCCAGTGGGGATTTTACCTTGGCATTTTACTTGTAAATATATTGTACTTTAATCAGTCTAATGCCCTCCACTGCTCTTCCTCCCCCTTGTCCTTCTACCCTATATTGTTCAACAGTTTTCAGTATGTTTTGTGGTACCTTATTCCTACACAGATGTGATATATTATTATCCACTCTATCATTCTTTTCTTCTTTTCCTCTCCCTTAATCTCCTCTAATAGTGCCACTTTTGAAAAACAGCTCGGTATGTATTTATATGTATATATGCTTATGCTTGTATTTGTATTGGCTCTTCCACATATGAGTGAAAATGTGGCTTTTGGCTTTCAGAACCTGGCTAACTTCTCTTAAGATGATATTCTCCAGTTCCATTTACCTATAAACAACAAAATTTCATTCTTCATGACTGAATAAAATTCCATTGTATATAAATACCACATTTTCTTAATCCAGTCATTGTTGGAGGCACCTGGGCTGTTTCCATAGTTTGGCTATTGTGAATACTGCAATAAAAATGGATGTGCAGGTGTCTTTATTGTAACCTGATTCATAGTCCTTTGGATATATGCCAAGGAATGGCAGTTCTATTTTTAGTTTTTTTGAGGATCCTCCGTACCGTTTTCTAATGTGTACTAATTTACAATCCCACCAGCAGTGTATGAGGGTTCCTACCACACTCACCCCCATCCCCACGCCCTCCTCACCATTTGTTGTGTTCTTGATGATACCACTGTAACAGGAGTGAGATGGACCCTTAATGTGGTTTTGATTTGCATTTCCTTTATGACCAGGGGTGTTGAGCAATGTGTTTTTTGGCCATTTGTACTTCTTCCTTTGAAAAAGCTCTTTTGAAGAGCTTTTTCTTTGAAAGAGAAATTTGCCCATTTCTTCATTAGGTCATTGATACTTTGGGAATTTAGTTTTTTGAACTCCCTGTAAATTCTGGTTATTAATCCCTTGTCAGATGCATAACTGGCAAAGATTTTCTACCATTCTCTGGGATGCCTCTTCAGTCTGGGGTTCTATTTACGAAATCATTGCCTATTCCTATTAATTCCAGTGTATTCCCTACTCTTCCCTGCAGTAGTTTTAAAGTTCCAGGCCTTGTATTTAGGCCTTTGATTCGCTTTGAATTTATATTTGTACAGGGTGAAAGACATGGATCTAGTTTGTTTTTTACAGGCAGATACCCAATTTCCCCAGCAACATTTGTTGAAGGGGCTCCATTGTGCTTTGGGCAAAATTCAGGTGGCTGTAGGTGCATGGGTTTATGTCTCGGTCTCCTATCCAGTTCTATTGGTATTTGTGCCAAAACCATGCTGTTTTTATTGCTATGGCTCTGTAGTATAGTTTGAAGTTAGGTATTGTGACTTCTCCAGCAATGCTTTTTGCTTATTAGCATTGCCGTGGCTATCCGTGGTCTTTTGTACACCCATATGAACTTAAAGTTGATTTTTCACTGTGAGGAATGTTAGTGGATTTTTTATGGGAATTGCATCAAACATATAAATTGCTTTTGTTAGTATAGCCATTTTCATATTAATTCTGCCAACCCCGAGCATGGGAGAGCTTTCTAAATCTTCTGTCTTCGGTTTCCTTGTTAGAGGTCTTTCACTTTAAGGTTATTCCTAGGTATTTTATTTTTGAGGCTATTGTAAAATGGAGCTCTTTTCCAAAATTCTTAAGTCTTCATTGTTGGTTTATAGAAAAGCTACTGATTTTTTGTGTATTGATTTTATATGCTGCTACTTTACTGAAAGTGTTTATGGTGTCTAGGAGTTTTTTGGTGGAGTTTCTTGGGTCTTTTAAGATCATGTCTTCAATAAATAGGGATAATTTGATTTCTTCCTTTTCTACTTGATTCCTTTTATTTCTTCTTCCTGTCTTACTGCTCTAGCTAGGAATTCCAAAATTATGTTGAATAAGAGTGGAGAGAATGGACGCCCTTGTCTCATTCCTTACTTTATGGGAAATGGTTTCAGTTTTTCCCCACTTAGTATGATGCTGGAACCATTCCTTTTAGCTTCTTGTTTGCAGATGATCTGGTTTAGGAATTATCAGATTTTTTCCATAAAGTGCCAGACATTTCTAAGAGTCATTGCTGGGCTATATGTTCTCTGCCTCAACTATTAATTATGCCACTGTGAGGTGAGTAGCCCTAAACAATATGGAAACAATAGGCAAAGGGCTGGCTGCACTATGCCTGCAGGCATTTGCTGACTCCTGATCTAATTCATGATATCATCATCACGAGTAAGTACTACGGGTACCATATAACATTAAGTTCACACTTCTCATCATATAACTTGCCAAAGACAAAATTAAGAGCCCAAAATGTTGTAGTTGTGGGTTGTTCACAATCCATCAAGTATCAGGAATACCCTATACCCACAGTGTTACTGTGTGTGCCAACAGGCCTCCATTCTCCCTTTGTGAGCTATGAACAGGCACCAGCTGTATGTGGTTTTTCAGCGTGCTTCAGCAGGGAAGTGAGGGACAGGGAAATGGGAGCACATAAAAAATGGCTGTTTTTGCAATCTGTAGTAACTGCAGTAACTATCCAAATACTGCCAATAAATGTTTTAAGGCTGTTTGGTTACTTGCCTATGCAACTGGGTGTAGCAGTCCCAGACATGGACTTATTTGTAACTTTCTCATATTGGTAACTCCTAAACTGTTTATGTAATATTTTGACATTGTTTTTCATTTTGGTTTTCAGGGGAGCCCTGGAAGCTTATGTTCAATCAGTGAGAAGTAGAGAAGGCAAAGAATTTGCACCAGTTTATCCCATAATGGTTCAGTTGCTTCAAAAAGCTATGTCTGCTTTTCAGTGAGAATGTGAAATCTTTAATCTCCACATGGCTCCAACCCATTCAAAGTTGGCAGTTAATAAGACATACTCTAAAAGACAGCTAACAATCCAGTATTTGAGATTGTAGTTGATTTTCCTGTATTTCTTACTGATCTTTATCTCTTTATCACTTCTACTTTAAAATGTCAAAATAGATTCACAACTTGTTAAAGTCCATGGACTTGACTTGATTCTTGCAAAAGACATCGAAGTTTTTTCTCCCTTTTCAGATTTTTATACAGCAAACTAAAATTTCTTTTCTATCATGTTACTGATTTTCTGATCATTAAAAAATCCCCACTGCTTTTCAGGTGATATGATCCAGGTGCCCTGTTCCTCAACCTGCCTTCTTCACAAAGTTCAGCCCTGTGGTTCCCAAATTTGGCTACACATTCACTTCACCACGAAGCTTTTAAAAAGTCTATGCCCAAGTTGCACCCTACTAATTATAATTAGCACATCTGGGAGTTAAGCCAGGCGTTTTAAAAGATACACATCCCCAAAGTGATTCCAGTATTGAAGTTAAGTAACAACTGGCATATCTCAAAGCTTAGGTATATGTTCTTTAAATGAAACAAGGTTTCTTTATACTTTGTCATTTTATTGAAAGCAAGACACTGGGGGCTTTGGGACAAAGCCAAAATTTTTTCTTCTACAAAAGATTCTCTATAAGTAATAATCTAAGTCCTTATTTTTCTGTTGCCCTTGCCCCATTATTAACATTCTTTAATTTTTACAATCTCATAAGCAATCTCCTAATTGTAAAACTAAGTCTTGTCATCCATCTCCTGTTCCATTATTCTGACAACTTCAGAAATTCAGTCAAGATCAATCAGAAGTCAGTGATAAAACTTTTTTTTTCATTTTATTTGAAATAATATACAAGAATATAGTGTGCAAAATTGAGGGGCAACATCATGAAGTGTAATGAACTAAAATCAGTTTTACAGCTGTGATTCCTAACCAGAAACACCACTTGGTAAATTACATGAAAAGCCATGATTGTAGCTCAGAGCAAAAGCAGCTGTATTGCCAATGTATTTGCTCTAATTTTAGACAGTTGGAGAAAAAGTAAAGTGCAAGTGTTGCACTGCAGTAAGTGCAAAGTCTGCCCCCACCATAAAGATATGCTGATGAAATATACTTAAGATATGTGGCTGAGGAGATAATAGAACACAAGGTTTAAAAATATAATGGTGTTGACTGTTAATAGCACCATTACAGTGACTATCCCAATGCTATTAACTAACTTTCCCTTGGCCACGCTATGTCTCCACTGGAAATCATAGATGAATGCTGCCACCTGCTGCATACACTCAACATACCTGTGGTAACTGCAGCAGATGGCTCTTTTCACTGGGACAATGACACCTGCCACCTGCCACATGTTACGTAGTCTCTTGGCACTGGCCGGACTAGGCACGCCTGTGTTGGCACAGATGCTGGGTCACGTGGTAGTTGCTCATGGAAGGCCAACTTCCAGCTTCTGCTTCATTCCATCATGTATATAATACAGATTAATAAGCAGTAAGGAGCCAATGCATAAACAGCAGTTACGTATTTTTAAATTCCCCTTCGTACAACTTAAAATAAAACATGTATACATGTCTCCTCTCTTCCTACTGTACTTTAGCACCACAGGATATCAATTTTCAAGCCTATATTACCTGATAGACATATACGAAGTTTGGAAGGAAAATAAGGCAATTTGGTTTACAACGTTGATAGTTTTAGCTTACTTAATGCTCTAATGGAGAAAGCAAATCTTCACTCATATTATTAAATCATTTCAAGACACAATGCTATCAGTATCTTATGGTCACACAAATTCAGGACAGATGGCGAGACTGTGATCTTCTTAAGCCTTTCCATCAGGAGCCCATGTTTATGCAAATATAGACTTAAGAACATAAGCGTTCTGGTTCAGTGTTGTTGTGACCCCTGTGGAAGTAAAATTAAACTCAGTGAATGTTTAAAGAACTTCCAAATTCCAATTCAGCTAACTTCTCATCTGAGAGCTGACTACTACTTCCAAAGAAATTCTTGAAAAATGTAAGCAGATGTCACCTGCGTATCACTAAAAATGGGCATTAAATACATAGGATAGGATGCCCTGCTGCTATTAACTACTGACATCTTCCCTTCATTTTTTTAGTATTTCAAATTGAGCCCGTTCTATCAAGGACAATTTTCTTAAAATTACTCTAAAAACACTGGGCATATAAAAGATGCTAGTCTAGTAATTAAAATATAAAAACCAAGTCTGTCCAAGTTACTATCATTATGGTGCAATTTGTTTACCACCCTTTCTGGGCCTATTTCTTCTTCTTCTTCTTCTTGAAGTTTTTAGTCTATGCCAATGGTACAAATCCCCATGAATATTAGTTAACCTGTCCGCACACTACCATCCTTACTAGCCCCCATCAGGTAAGGAAAGAAAGGCTGCTGAGACATGCCACCAAAAATTAATTTCCTACACTGATATTAATGGGTTAATAATGCCCATCTTACAGCCCAACTAGAAATATTACATTCCAAAATTATCTTTCACAATGTTTTAGATAAACATTCTTTTTAAATTGGTTTTTTTTTTTTTTTGCAATACTGGGGCTTGAACTCAGACACTCTACCCTCTTGAGCTACTCACTCCACCAATCCCCCTACTTTTCATACAAAATGAGTAAATGGTACTTTGTCATGAAAAGGAAGGCAGTCTTCCCTCATATGATGCTATGAAAACATCATTAGGTTTAAATTGTAACAATGCTAAGAAAGAGCATCAGCACAGCCTTTTAAAGGTTGTAACAACTGCTCCAACATGCCAGTACACATCTATGGAGTAAGTCAAGATCAGCTTAGACAACTACTTGTTGAAACATACTGAATTGGTTCTTTTCCTTTTCCAACAGTCAGGATTTAAACGTTTTTGTTCTTCAGCCAAAGCCTTTGCTTCTAATGTGTACATCCTTCTCTCTTCATTCTTCATTTTCTTCCACCTGTCACCAAGGATCACACTTATGGCTCTGTAACAAAAATATTTACATAATGTTGAAGACAAAGAGTTTTCATAAAATTCATGTCAAGTGCTGCTACTTCAGCCAGAAATGTAAGGTTAAAATGACAAAAATCTTGTCCAACATAACAAAAAAGTGTCAAGGCCGTCAGAATAATTTCCAGCAAAATTCCAGTCATACGCCCATTTATCATAATCTTGATGGTGATAAAGCCTCCTGGAATAGTGACAATTTTCCTAATTGTTGAAAGATACCTAAAATGGCTAGAGAAACTGGATATTCTCCAAAGCTTAAATTTTTAAATTTTTCTTTTAAGAAAAAAAATTCATCTTACACTGACTGTATAGAAAGAGGAGGCAAAGTAAACCTATCCCATATATATCTCAGCCCAGGCCTTGTGCCTGATCTGTATTGTGAATGGGGAGACATAGGGAAGAGAAAAAAAAAAAAATTCAAACATTTCAAAGAAAAGGTTTAAATTAATTATTGGATCTATTGTATATCAGTTTTAAAAAGATGTCTTAAGTATTCAACTTGTATCAAAAGCTATTCTTTCTTTTTGTGCCCACAGCCTATCAAATAGTTGTAATAAAGGTCTTTTTTCATTCATGCAACCATAATGAAAATGTTCTCTTAGGATGAAGCCAAGTAAACTTTAGGTTATATTTGTACTTATCACTTGAGAAACTGGATTAATCTGAAAGGATAAACGGGAAGTCAAACTAATAGAGAACACCATGACACAAATTTGAAACTATTTTCCTATTTATACTTGTTACTCTGCTACCAAACCTATTGAAGTATCTCACCTAGAACACACAGACATAAATCAACTTTCCTTCTATGCAGAGCTTTACTCACACAAGAGTAAGTCCTGGGGTGACTGCACAAAGCACCTCAAAGTGATTTTATACTAACTGCCAAGGAAGACAGAGATAGGCATTTGTGCCTTAGAAGAATAGCCCTTGAAGCCTGCTAAGTACACATTAAATGTGTAGTAAGTGTATGTCTTTTTACTCACTATACCAGTGCAATTCCCTTTGCTGTATCTCCCTTTTTCTTTTCTGTTTTTTTTAAATTTATTGTGCTGGGTGGAGGGGGCACATTATGGCATTTATAAAAGTTCTTACAATATATCAAATATACCATACTTGAATTCACCTCCTCCCCCAATTCCTGGAAGAGTTTCAACAGGTATCATTTCTCCATTTACATACACGTGTACACAGTCTTTGCACTATATTCACCCTCTTACACCCCTCCCGCCCCCAACTAAGAACAACCACCCCAGGTAGGAACTGTTCCATCCTCCTGTTCTCCATTTATCTTCCTTTCCTCAAAACCAATTTTTATAGTTTTTTGATACAGATGACTTATTTTTCCAGTTCAACCAATAAGAAATTCTTAATAAACCCTATCTCAGTCTTCCAAAGTTTGAAATGTTTTTGAATGAGGTGGTTGTGTGTAACTTGGGAAGCAAATTCATCCCATTTTTTAAGTTGAAACATGACAGGAGATAAAATGGCACAATGATGCAGACCATAATCTGCATTCCCTCTCTTCGCAATTATAAAATATACATACCACTTACATTCATTTTTGCAGTGAATTTGTTATACAGATTGATGTTTACACCAACTTATAAATGAACTGCTTATACCTCTGACCTGTTCATTTTAGTCTCTGTTCCCTCACAGGTTGTCTCTAAATGTTTTAAATCACTGAATTAAGACATTTTCTCTACTAGAGAAAGGAGAAAACTCCCAGTTCAAAATTATCTGATTTTTCCTCATTCAATTTAGAGATAGGTATATCTGGTATCCCTCAATGTTAAGATGTATCACATGGAAGCAATGCTAAAATGCAAAGAAAAAAGATTTATGAGCAACATAGGAGATAACCTAAGGCAGAGATCCTAAAAAGTAGAAAAAAATATAAAGTGAAAATGAAATTTACACTTATCCAATGTTATAAATAATTCCAGGAAGCATCTCTGGTAACATTTAACTGCTGGGGAAATGGACTTATTAATGTAGCATAGGGACATGAATCCTATTTCTAGTCAAAGGTCTTGTCAATAATCAAGTACCAGATATGTGCAGAAGAGAACTGCAGGCCTGCACTTGTCAGTAAACCTCTACAACTAGGCCACTTTCTCTGGGGAAGAAAAAGGGAAAGATGTGATAGTTATTCCCAAAATGCCTTTAAATTCTGAAAGTATTTTCTATGAGATTATTATATACTAGTAACCAAAGCAGCAGACTTCCAAATGAAAAAAAAAAAAAAAACAAAAACAGGCTGGCAGAGTGGCTCATGTGGCAGAGTGCCTGCCCAGCAAACCTAAGGCTCTGAGTTCAAACCCCAATGCCACAAAAAAGAAAAAAAGGTCATAAAAAAACAAAAACATTACAGGCCAGGCACAGTAACTCATGCCTGGAATCAGGTGGCAATGAGGAAGACCACAGTTCAAGAGCAGCCCAGGTAAGGTTCCATCTCATTAAGTTGGGTGTGGTGGTGTATGTGATCCTACCAGCTATGCAGGAGGCCATAGGTAGGATTTTTTGCCCCAGGCAAAAATGTGAGATCCTACTTGAAAAATAACTAAAGCAAAAAAGGGCTGAGTGTGTGGCTCAAGTGGTAGAGTACCTACCAAGCATGAAGCCCTGAGTTCAAACCCCAATTCACACCCCCCCCAAAAAAAAAAAAAAATCCAGTCTTTTTTTTTATTGATAAAGAAATGGAAGATTAGAGGTTAATTGCCAAAGTCACACAAATGACAAGACCCAAGAGTCAGACATTTCAGTGGTATTGAAAGGCCTTAATACTTGCTCAGTCTTTCTACAGTTTGTATTCTCAAGAAATAAGCAGATGTTAAAACAAAGCTATACACTGCAGTATTATTTGTAACAGTTTGTAATGGAAGTCTAAGTACATATATACATCAACTCTCAGATACTTACGGAATGAGAAGCTTCTCTATATATAATGTAAATACTACTTAGAATATCATAAAACATTAAAACTTAAATTCAACATTATTTTATGTAATCACTTGATTTTTCTTAGTTCTGATCCTTAGAGAAGTAGGAAGACTGGAGGAAGATAGCTTTAATATATGATCAATGTGATTGGCTTGAGTGACAAAGGATTCTGAGATGAGGTAGGGGTAGAGGAAACAGAGGAAGGACTTGAATTCATTTTGATTCCTGGGTTCTGCTTTCTAAGTTCAGCCTTTTGACAAATCTGGCAGCTTGCTAAAACTACCAATGCCTGCACATTCCAAGACTCACTTAAACACTCTTGAGATCTGACATAAGGAAATGTTACATGGAAATGACAAATGTTAGAACTGTGTCCTCTTAACAGGTAAGAGACTTTTACTATTAGTGATGAGGTAGATCTTCACCATTTACATAGCCTAATTATCTATGTATTGTAAAATAATTACACATGATCCTAAAAATTCACGTAAGGTCCTAAGTGAATTCTTCCTTAAAAAAAAAAAATAGGAAGAATTCAATAAAAGCTATTGAAGAGTAAGTTTACTAAATTATCCCAATTACTGTGACCTGTATTGAAGTGTTACTCAGTAATTATAATCAGAATTATGTTTACCTGTTATCTTTCCCTGGATACATCTGAGTATATTCAACTCTGTATTTTTTGGCAAAAAGCATGAAGGCATTCATTGGTCTTTTGCACTTATTAGGAGAAGTGGCACTCACAGTCCCTGAGCTGTGGTTTTTGACAGCCTTAGCATACAAAGAACTAGAAGAGAGCTGTGATGATCCAGGTGAGCCACAGTTTTTACTGAATCCAGATCCTGCAAAGTCTTGACCACCAGGTCCTCCACAAGACAAAGATGCACGACGTTGACGAGCCATACTGCTTAACACATAAACTGCAGAAGAATCCATAGGTGTGAAGTCATAGCTAGAATATTAAAAAAACTATTAACATGGTTTAATTAAATCTGGTTTATACAATTTCTAAAAAACAGGATTTTAAGAAAAAATACTTAACATCTGATTGGAAACTTAGTGCATCTTTCCTAATACAATGTTTCAAGCATGAATTTAACATTTTTGCCATTGATACTTGAGTCTAAAGTTAAAACCTTATACGTACACTAAAATTATTAATTGTAAAAGACCCCAACCCCCTGCCACACACACATAAAGGAATCTGTTATCATCAGCATATTTTATCCATGGCAAGTAACTTCTCTAGATCCCACAAATCTATTCTTACTGTAGATTCACTTTTTCACAAATTTGGCAACCTGATTTCTTGGCTTAGATCTAGAAAATTTTTAAAAAAGATTGGCAGGCATATTATAGGCCTAAGGACTAAATACTTCACAAGACAAAAGGTTAGATAAGGGCAGTCAAAAGCTATTAAATACTGCTAATGAAACTTAAAATGCACAGTAATCTGGTAATTTGCATAGGTACAAAAGTCTTATATGAATGGGTTCCCTAAAAAGCCATACAAGGATTATAGTATAACCTAGTTCATAGGTAAAAACCCATCTTTATCAGGAAGGTTCACATTCTGTTCTATAAATTCAGTTTACTTAGGCTTGGAAATAAGCTATGCATATTCTCTGAACAAGCCTGCTTGAAGGGTATTATTACCTCTCTTTTACGTGAAGAAAGAGGCTAAAAGAAGTAAAGCATTATTTACCCAAGGACACACTTTTAGTATCCAAAGCCCCAGCTTTCCTAACCAATACCGAAAACTACCATTGACTAAAACTCAAGGTAAACAAATAATAATATTAACTGAAAATAGTGCTGAAAAATAGAGCAACAGACCACAGCTTGAAGATAAACCAATCAGAATTCTTTTGCTCCAACTCATGTTTAACTCTTTCTGACAATACTTGCTATCTTGACAGAAAATCTTTTAATTCATCTTTTACTCTGAACCCAGCTCCTACTTCGTTTCCCGAAACAGGAATTCTGATACTACATTAAAATAGGTTGGTGTTGATGATAGGAACAGCATCTGCTTCAAGACAAAGCATCTGCGATTATGAAGCTAAATGAATGGATTAAGCTGGTCCATGTCATTTACTAGAGATAGTAAAGATGACTTCTACCAATTATCAGCCACGTGAGATCTTTTGTCTTAAAACTATTACATGAAATACATGTACTTAAAACTATGACTCCAAAATTACCATACAATGAATGCCTGGGAATCAATACTGTGCCATTTTTTTCCTAAGATTGTTATTAAGTTTAGAAAAAAGCAAACTTGAACACATATATGAATCTGATGCAAAATTTTTTGCCTCTACTGAAGAACACTAATTACAATTTAAAATACCAAAAGATGTATGGTACCTTAATTATGAAAATGTGAAAACTTCACCATCTAGTGGCACAAATCTAACATCTATTTCCATTATGGATACAACTTAAATCAGTTCCAAGTATTCAATCACAGAATTCAGGATTATGATACAACTACAGCATTGAAAACTGACATTGAGTATCTTTTAAAACAGCTTAATTTTTTTTGCTACGCTACATCATGTAAGCATTCATTCGCATCACTGAACTACCCAAATGTGCCTTGTTTTGCACCTCAAGTTTTTGTCCATGCCACCTCTTAAGCTTACAATGCCTTTCTCCATCTTCACTGTTTAATCATTACTCTTGCAGGAAAACTACAATAACGTAATGCCTAGTAACCAAGTTACATATATAAAGTGATTTAATCTTTTTTCAGTATTATCCTCATTTTATGGGGTTTACAAGAGCCACAGATAAGTTAATGCACTTACTAAAGTTTCCACAGTAAACCTACTGCACAGCTAGAATTCAGGCAGTCCAGCTCTGGAGCTCACGCTCCTACCAGGCTACACTGTCTCTCAATCAGCATGTACTCACTCTACACATTACCAATCCATTTCCTTCACTAGACAGAAAGTAAAGAAATATGCTCATTTTCAAGATTAGTTCTAAAAAATGTAAAGTATTAACTGGGTTCACATCCCACCTCTTCCATTTATTAGCAATATGACCTTGGGAAAGTTAAAGAAACCATCTAGTCTCTGTTTACTTAAGTAAAATAGAGATTAATGCCTTGGCTTACTTAACTATAAAATAAAGATTCATACATGTTATGTTAATCTTTATGTTGCCTAAAGAAAAATAAATACAAAGCTGAATACCAATGGCTCACAACTATAATCCTAGCTACTCAGGAGGCAGAGATCAGGAGGATTGCAGTTTGAATCTAGCCCGGGCAAGTAGTTCATGAGACCCCATCACACAAAAAAAAATGTCTGGTGGAATGGCTCAAGGTGTAGGCCCTGAGTTCAAATCCCAGTACCATACACACACACACAAACAATAAATACCAAACAGTTAAGGCACAAGCTGGCAACTATTAGTATCAAACAAGTGTTATCTATTGTTACTGTACATGTAACCTACATTAGTAGATAAGAAGACTTCACCTAACCTACATTAGTAGATAAGAAGACTTCAACTAATCTGTCTCTATAAAATAAAGATATAACCTAATAGGGTAATGAACACTAAGCAAAGTTAACATAAGTACAATGCCTGGCATATGATAGGTACTCTGTAAGTTATTAAATTATCACATTTCTTGAATGAAATGTCATCTTCACAAGGTCAGCAGTGACTTTTAAACCTGCTTGATGCCTTGAAGGTTGGCCTCAATCCTCAGCGTTTCTGACAGGCTTCTTCAAATCATATGCTTATATGGGAGCTTCTTCTCTAAGATGGCAAAGCCTCAAGCTGTTTTTAGAAGCTCACTAATTACATTGTTGACTTCTGACTGTACCAAGCTAGAAACTACTTAAATTTTCTTTTTTTGTAATTCATGACTCAAAACCTTGCCCCATATCCCCAAGTATATCTGAAATTATTCTAGGGTTGTCTCTTGGACTGTTTCTTCTTTCAGTCTTTCTTTCCCTTCTTGCTCTCACTATGTTAGACATCAATAATAGCTTTGTGCTGTTTAACTTTTTCATGGATTCTCCTGAATGAAGCTGCTCTTTCCCACTCCTTTGCAGGGCAAGGAAAGAGGGCATTGCTGTATACTGCAATCACTCAACATTGGCGAGTGAAATGAGACCAATGGTAAAGGTCATCTTCAAATTATTCAGTAGGAACAAGATGTTTGCCATCTCAGAAAACAGGAATTAGGCAGCCAAACTTTCCTTTTTTGCTTTAGAAAACAAAGTTGTGCACTCTACAATACTTGATCTATTTAAAAATGTCGTAACATATAATGTCTGAAGCATAAAAATAAATACCAGTGAACCCATAATTCAAATTAAGAGAGAGTATCACTCACACTGCACATTTGCCACCAGATAACCAGTTTCTTGAACGGTGTATCATTCCCTTTCTCAATATTTTATTATGAAAATATAACACTGATCACAAATAATATAGTAGCACTAAATATGGTAATGTGTTCATTAAATATGTTAAATTATATTAATGTAGCAATGTTTGTGTAAAAAGATAATCTAACAGGTCTGATTGCTACCCTTTCAAAAGTCTACTTACAAGGTTGGCCCTTAACTGGCATCCATAACCTGGAATTCACAAGAGTTCACATCATTTCAACAACTCATTAAGAGTGGCTTGTTGTGCCTCAACTATGAACATTGATTTCCTCTTGAATGTTCAAATTTTGGTACCTGCCAGGCACAGGCAGCCTATATGACCAATTCTCAATAGAAATCCTGGGTCCTAAATGTCTAACAAACTTTCCTTGCTAGAAAAAGTTTCCTACATGTTCTCACAACTCACTGCTGAGGGAACTGAGCTACCCTGTGTGACTCTACTGGGAAAGGACCCCTGGAAGCCTGACTTCTCCCAGATTTCAACCCACGTGTTTTCCCTTTTCTGATTTTGTTTTGTATCCTTTTGCCATGATAAATCACAGCATGAGTCTCCTGAGTCCTCCTAGCAAATCACTGAGCATGGGGGTGCCCCCGACATAATTATAAATGTATTGTTTAAGTTGTATGTCACTATATTTGTGATTTTATTAGATTTTTTTCTGAAGAACATGATTCCATTAAAAAAAAAACTGAATCATACTGTGTATGTTTGAGTTAATTTGTACTAAACATGTTTTTTCAATCTATGTTTTAAAATAATGTAGCTAAGATTCACTCATTTTCCACTGATGAAAAGAATCCCACTGTATGACTGAATAATTTATTTGATAAAATCCAATTAATTGCTATTGGCATTATTTCCACATTTTTGCTATCATGAATGATACAGCTATGTAATTATTTATACTTCTCCTTGTACATATCTTTTTAAGAACTTACTTCTCTGGGATATATATGATGAGGGATTGAATTCTTGATATTCACCTTTGTAAGATAAAACCAAGTTATCTCCCCAAACTTTTCTATCTGGTTACATTTTCACCAAAACACAAGCGTTATCACTAATCTACATCCTAAGAACACCTAAGTCACTCATTAAAATTTTGTCTCCTCTTTCAAAGAAGAACATACAAGGGAATGAAACAGCATTTAGTTAAGATTCCATTCTTATAGGCACTTACTGAGCAAATGGCCTATGTCAGGCCCTATACTAGTTGCTTTTTAAATAATAGTCTCACTTATCCTTATAATATATATTAACTTTACATTAAATTGATGGAAATGGGGGTGGGGGTATGGCTCAAGCAGTAGAGCAGCTGCCTAGCAAGCACAAAGCCCTGAACTAAAATCCTAGGATAACAAAAAAGTAAAAAAAAAATGAGTATCAGCAGAGACTCCTAAGAAGCCTCTATTTAGTGCCGCCTAGTTATATACCTATGAATTTGATAATTATCATCAAGAAAGAATCATCCTGCATATTTACATACAGACTTTCTCTGGGTACCCTCTGGGAAAAGATGGATCAACTGTCCCAGCTACACAGGACTGAGGAGATTTCAGGGATTCTGGGTTTTTAGTGTTAGAACCAGAAAAGTCCCATATAATTTGGGATAGTTGGTAAACAATCTTGAGAGTTAGGACTCATGGGTTCTTGTTATATTTTGCCACTTATAGCAAGGTGACCACAGGAAAAAAAAATCACTCCCGTAAGACTTTCCTAATGTCAATTTTTTGCTAGTTTTATTAATTAAACCATGCAACTAGTGACCTTGGTCAAAATGAGTATTAAACAAAGGTTTAGTTAAGTCCCCACCACCCCAAGGATATAGTTAATTATGAAAAACATTAAAGATTTACAGTTTGTAAAAATAAATGGCCAGATATAGCATTTTTTAATGTCATTATCAAAGCTGATTAAACTTTTGGTCATACAACCTATGATATTCTTCCTAATCTAATCCTAAATATTTTGTAAACTCACTTTTCCTGTATGACTACTCATACAAAACTCCTCATTAGTAGGTAATTTTCTTCAATTAATCATATAAATACACTTGTCTCTAAGTAGTTCTTATTAGTCTCAAACCTTTAAAGTTTTAACTTCCTAAATGTTTGACCTAGCAATCACTATGGAAATTAAGGAGAAACATTAAAAAAAAAGAATTCAATATTACCTTTTAAATGTATCAAAAACACCTGAATCGTCAAAATTAATGGCATCAGGGTGTCCAGGAGGTAGACATATGTCACCCACGTGAATTTCACAACATGGGATACCATGCTGCACCACAGTCAAGCTTGGGTAAAATGATGACCACCCTGAAGTTAAACAACAGTTGTATATATAGTGAGGATTGACAGGAAACACCCAAAGTACATTATAAAAGACATTTCTGCATTCTTAAAAATAAGTCCCTATTTAAAATCCCAACAGATATTAACATAGGTCAAGCTTTTTCTTTACAATACACCAAGTACTAGTAAATTTTTCCTTTTGACAATATAAAAGTCCTACAAATACAATACAAAATTAGTTTAATTTAGCATTTTGTTTATTTTTAGATCTCTGTCAGTCAGCACTTCTATCAACCTACAAAATAGTAAGTGATGAATGATGAGACCATGAAATAGTCTCTGAATTATTAGAGTATGCTTAATATGGTATTAATGTAATAAGGGTCTGAAGAGTGATTCAGGTTTACAGCATATTTGGTAACTCTAAACAAAAATGTGATTACTCCATTTTGAATGAGTACTCTATGGAGAATACTCCATTCCCCAAACTACCAAAATAGCAAAGCTTACTACAGTATGCTACGTGATCCTGAGACTCCTCACACACAGCAAGCAGAGTTCTGACTACTGCTAAGATGCTTAAACACTATTAAATATTACTATAAGCAGTTCTATGGTAGTTCTATTTAGTTTGAAATAAATTTTCCCTTTAATTTTTTTCTTAATCATAATCATCAAAGCCACAAGATATAATTACAGATTTAAGAAGCATTCTTTTAAAAAGTTACTACAAATTCAGTTGAAACCCTACCTTTATTTTTAACATAGAAAGGATGTTCCAGCTTACACTCTACGGTAAGTAAGCCATCTTCTACTGTACCAGGATCAAAAGTCAACTTCAGTACAGACTCACCAAACGATATACTTTCTTCATGTGACAACAACTTTAGACCATCAGAACCATAGCCCTGAAAACATATGCACAGAGTGAATGAACTGGAAATGTTCAACACACAGTGAAGTTCCCATTATGTGTAAGATTTTGCAGAAAAGGCAAAAATAACCAAGATAGGATCCCTGGCTTTAAAGAGCTCTCAACCCAGCAGTGAAGAAAGATGCATACTTAAGTAACTACAATATATAAGGCAGACTAGAATAATAAGCACTTTAACTCAAGTAAAAATGCTAAAGTTTAGAGATACCAATTCCAAAAGAGAAAAATTAGGAAGGACTTTCAATTCCACTTGAACTGGAATATAAAAGATGGATGAAATTTAGAAAAGGCGAAGAAAATGCCTTGAACCAGAACAGTTGCATTTAACAACCTCTCTGAGGAGTGCTGTATTTGCTACAAATACAAGGTAAGTTCAGACTTGGAGCAAGTAAGGAGAGGCCAATTAGTAGACAGGCCTTAGCAGTAGTAAATATACTTTTTGTTTAGATGGTACTGGGAAATCATAGGCCTGGCATAGTGGTATACACCTGTAATCCCAGCTACTTGGGAGGCTGAAGTAGAAAGATCATGGTATGAGGACGGTCCGGGCAAAAGTTCAAGCCCCTATCAGAAAAACAAAAATAAAAAGTAAAAGGACTGGGAACAAGTCCTCAAGTAGTAGAGCACTTACCTACCTATCAAGAACAAGGCCTTAAGCTCCATCCCCAGTACCACCCAAAAAAAAAAAAAAAGTGGTACTGGGAAATCAATGGAAGTTATCTTTACTAACAGCTATGAATTTTAAGACGATAATGACTGCAGAATAACAGGGAACTCATATTTAATTATTTGAGAATATAATGAGACCTCCTATTACAGTCCTGGGTTGACAAGTACAGTAGTGATACAATCAGATGACATTTAAATTCAATGAATACTTATTGAGCATTCAATGCCAGGTGGTAAGCTCTGAAAATATAAGCATCAGTAAGACATGACTTACACTTGAATTCAAAGAAAAAGAAATATGCTAACAACTAACTACAGCATCCAATTATTACACGGGTCCACCAAGTAATGAATGAAAAGAATGACTGATGAAGGTCTTTATGGAAATACAATCAACTGAACATGAAGGGAGGAAATGGAATGTAGTAAAAAGACAATTTCATGGTTTTGATTCTGGTCATCAATAAAGACAATAATCACTTTTAAAAAGTAGGGGGAAATTAAGCTAGGAAAGGGAAGAACAAGATGAGTGCAGCTTGGGCCAAATAAAGCTGGGTTTTAAGAAATGATTATTCCTCCCATGGAGATGTCTAACATGCAGTTGGAAATGTGCAGGAAAAGGTGATGGGCATATATTTCTAAAAAATCAAATTATAGAATCTTCTAATTCTTGGAGACACACAAAACTTTAAAACTGATCCAATCCATTTTACAGATCAGGAAGTCAAGGCCCAGAGGGTTTAACATTCTGCCTAAAGTCAGTCACATAAACAGTTACTAGAAGAGCAGAAGACGGCCCAGGCTCTGACTCAACTCCAGAGTGCTTTCCACAGAGCATGCGTGTAGGTGCTGCTGACATTACCAGCAGTCAGGCACTGGGAGAGAAAAGAGGGGCTGAATCTTGTTTTACATTTGTCACCGTGGGCAGAGTAAGTAGCAGTCAAAGACTTAGAATCATCATTCTCTTATGTAGTCATGCTACGCAAATCAAGGAAAGACTAGCCCTGTGTGTCAAATGCTGCAGAACTGTCAAATAGAACAAGCAAAAGTCTCTGGTTCAAGACATCAGAATAGATAGTAGAAGCCCAAGTAAGATTATGATGTACTTTAACAGAATAAAGAGTGTCAACAAGACACTGAAGGTAGCCAAGATAAGACTTGGCTTGAGTTTCTGAAGAACTTAATAGTTGGAGACAACAAAAGGAATTTTAAACACAATCACCCCACTTTCTCTGCCTACGGTAAAGTGGAGAAATGAAAGATTTCAAAGTGAAAGGTTTCAACAGACATTCACCCTCCTGTTGCTTACTACTGCTCTTGCTTATCAGTTTAGAAAATGGTAAGTGCTTTATAGTCATTTAAAAAGTTACCAATATAACTAACTCAATTTGCTACAAGAAAACTAACCACTTTGTAGATTACCTAAGACAAGGCTTTATTTATTCACTATTTGTTTTTAATGCCAATTTAATTTTCCCCAATGTAAAATTTCTGAAGCACACACACACACACACACACACACACAAGTGCTAAGAAATATACCATTTATCCCATCTGAGAAAGCACAACTAGAAAGGTAAACCTAAAGTCACTGATCCTGTTCAGGCTAAGAAGCAATGAAAGGTCCTAAAATGTTAAGATGTCATTCAAACATGAAAGCAAGCAGAGGACTCTGTTTGCTTAAATACATATTCATGCAGATTAACAAATAAACCTTGTATTTTACTTTGAAAGGTTTTGAAAACATTTAAAAGATTTTAGCCCAGTTCCAGTGGCTTATGCCTGTAACCCTGGCTACTTGAGAAGCTAACATCAGGAAGACTGCACTGCAGTTCAAGGCCAGCCTGGGTAAATAGTTCACAAGACTGCACCTCCAAAATAACCAGAGTAAAACAGACTGGAGTTGTGGCTCAAGTGGTACAGTGCCTGCTTTGCAAGCAAGCACCAAGCTCTGAGTTCAAACCCAAGTCCCATTAAAAAAAAAAAAAACGAATTTTTAAATAACCTTGTGAGTGCCCATTTGGAGATCTTCCTCATTATCACAGCCTTCAGCTCTGGCAAAATCTTCAACATCTTGCCATTCTTTATTGTTTCCCTTATGAAAACACAGTCGAGTTCCTAAAGTTTAATTAGAAAACAAACATTAATTAGATGTAACTAGTGTGCTAAACAAGTAAACTGAAAACACCCAAGTATTTCTTTACCTTTTAAAAAACAGTGCCAAATGGTTGAAGGCCAGGAATTGCACCATCCCAAATCATCATCATCTGACAAGGAGGACATGCAGAAAATGCCAGATTCTGACTCACTATTTGCCTATGGAGAAAAGTATTACAAACTTTTTGTTGTTTTTTAATAGATCTTAATACCTGTTTTTATCTCAAGTCTTCAAATTAAAAAAAAAATTCTAAACTTAGGGGAAAATATGCTTTTAAGAACTGAAGTTTTGGGAAGTTTTAGTTAAATGTGAATTTGTACTTGTAACAAACTTTCTTAATTATTAGAGTTGTATATAAATCAAATTCAGATCACTGGCAGAACAATGAAACATTATTTTCCATCTGTATGTGCTTCAAAAGAATTTCTCAGATGGGTAAAGTTAATGTTTTTCAACTGTTACATAAGCTTCGTAAAAGTTTAACCTCATGAATCAACTCACCCTTTCATGTCTTACTGGTGTTTCCTCCTTCCAGTGGTGATGAGGGAAGGTTGTCTCACTCTTCGAAGAGGATGACACTGGTGGAGGGCGTGCATAGGAATGTAAACTTTTGCTAGTAGCTATGATGTGTACAGGAGATGATCTAAAATAAAACAGCAGGTTTTTGGGTTTTTTTAACCATAAAGCACATGTCCTTAAAGTAGGTATTTTCTTTTGATGAAAAGAACATCATATTCCAAGTGCCAATGTTATCACATATAAAGTAGATGCAGTAAACCCTAGTAAAGAGCAAGATTTCATTTCTAATACTATGCTATTCCTTAACTTTCTCCACACTCTTCATACATCAGATTTAACAGTGTATTTTAATTATCATTACTATTTATTTATTCCATTGACTTTTTTTTTTTTTTTGGAGACAGGCTCTTGCTATGTAGAGCAGGCTGGCCTCAAACTCAGGATCCTCCAGCCTCAGCCTCCCAAATGTACTGCCACACCCAGTCCCCATTCTCTTTTATCTCAATATACATAAATGTACATATTTGCATTCATGTAGAATACCACTGTGTAGGGCTCCCCATCCATTTCTTTTGATCTATTCAGTAAGTCTCAGTAGGAATGGAACATCTAAGCTTACCTTAAGCTACAACGAATTATTTCTCTAGTAACTATGTATTGCAGGGCAGACATAATAACCATCTTAAGCAAAGACATTAACACAGCAGAAAGCAGCCTATCTGCCACACCTTGGAACTGGACACTGTTTGTTTTCTATTACAAACTTGTTGAAAGCTACACACAAGATACAGTTGTTTTCTCCTAAGGATCACCTTAAACAAAACAAAGAACAACTTGATCCCTCTCCCTCTTTTCCCCTCAAAGTCTCTTTACCAGGTAGTGCTCCCTTTCAAGTTTACGGAGCTCCCAAAAACATACTAAGATCAATCCTTCATAAACAGACCAGATTTTCATGGGTGAAATCATAGTAAGAAACAAGCTTATAAAGGATGACAAACTCAGGAGTCTGGGAAGAAACAGGATATGGCAAATACAAATTTGGTCCTTAACAGAAAAGGTGAATGCACGTCTGCACTAACCTTTTTAAAGAGTAAGGAGGAACACCTTTCTAATTCTTCCCTCATTTTATGAAGCCAGTATTACACTTATCCCAAAACCAGGCAAAGACTCCTCCAAAAAGGAGAACTATAGGCCAATCTCCTTAATGAACATTGACGCAAAAATCCTCAATAAAATAATGGCAAACCAAATTCAACAACACATCAAAAAAATCATTCACCACGATCAAGTAGGCTTCATCCCAGGAATGCAGGGGTGGTTCAACATAAGCAAATCAATAAATAAAATACACCACATAAACAGAAGTAAAGTCAAAAACCACTTGATCATCTCAATTGATGCAGAAAAAGCCTCTGATAACATCCAACACCATTTCATGATAAAAGCTCTAAGAAAACTAGGAACAGAAGGAAAATACCTCAACATTATAAAAGCTATATATGACAAACCTACAGCCAGCATTATACTTAACGGTAAAAAACTGAAACCATTCCCTCTAAAATCAGGAACCAGACAAGGATGCCCACTCCTATTCAACATAGTACTGGAATTCCTAGCCAGAGCAATTAGGCAAGAAGAAGGAATGAAAGGAATACAAATAGGTAAAGAAACTGTCAAAATATCCCTATTTGCAGACGACATGACTCTATACCTTAAAGACCCAAAAAACTCTACTCAAAAGCTCCTAGACACCATCAATAGCTATAGCAAGGTAGCAGGATATAAAATCAACATAGAAAAATCATTAGCATTTCTATACACTAACAATGAGCAAACGGAAAAAGAATATATGAAAACAATTCCATTTACAATAGCCTCAAAAAAAATCAAATACCTAGGTGTAAACCTAACAAAAGATGTGAAAGACCTCTACAAGGAAAACTATACACTTCTGAAGAAAGAGATTGAGGAAGACTATAGAAAGTGGAGAGCTCTCTCACGCTCATGGATTGGTAGAATCAACATAGTAAAAATGTCGATACTCCCAAAAGCAATCTACATGTTTAATGCAATTCCCATCAAATCCCAATGATATTCATCACAGAGATTGAAAAATCTATCGTTAAATTTATTTGGAAACACAAGAGACCACAAATAGCCAAGGCAATACTCAGTCAAAAGAACAATGCAGGAGGTATCACAAAACCTGACTTCAAACTATATTACAAAGCAATAACAATAAAAACAGCATGGTACTGGCACAAAAACAGACATGAAGACCAGTGGAACAAAACAGAGGACCCAGATATGAAGCCACACAACTATAACCAATTTGTCTTTGACAAAGGAGCTAAAAATATACGATGGAGAAAAGCAGCCTCTTCATCAAAAACTGCTGGGAAAACTGGTTAGCAGTCTGCAAAAAACTGAAACTAGATCCATGTAGATCACCCTATACCAAGATTAACTCAAAATGGATCAAGGATCTTAATATCAGACCCCAAACTCTAAAGTTGGTACAGGAAAGAGTAGGAAATACTTTGGAACTAATACGTATAGGCAAGGACTTTCTCAATGGAACCCCAGCAGCTCAGCAACTAAGAGATAGCATAGATAAATGGGACTTCATAAAACTAAAAAGCTTCTGCTCAACAAAAGAAATGGTCTCTAAACTGAAGAGAACACCCACAGAGTGGGAGAAAATATTTGCCAGCTATACATAGACAAAGGACTGATAACCAGAATATATAGGGAACTCAAAAAACTAAACTCTCCCAAACTAATGAACCAATAAAGAAATGGGCAAGTGAACTAAACAGAACTTTCTCAAAAGAAGAAATTCTAATGGCCAAAAAATACATGAAAAAATGCTCACCATCTCTAGCAATAAAGGAAATGCAAATTAAAACCACACTAAGATTCCACCTCACCCCTGTTAGAATAGCCATCATTAGAAACACCAACAACAACAGGTGTTGGCAAGGATGTGGGGAAAAAGGAACCCTTACACACCACTGGTGGGAATGCAAACTAGTACAACCACTCTGGAAAGAAACTTAGAGGCTTCTTAAAAATCTAAACATAGATCAATCTGCCATATGATCCAGCAATACCACTCTTAGGGATATACCCAAAGGAATGTGACACAGGTTACTTACACACAAGTTTATTGCAGCACTAATCACAATAGCCAAGTGACAGAAACGGCCAAGATGCCCCACTATTGATGAGTGGTATTATACACAATGGAATACTACTCAGCCATGAAGAAGAATGAAATTTTATCATCTGCAGGTAAATGGATGGAACTGGAGAACATCATCCTGAACAAGGTTAGCCAGGCCAGAAGACCAAAAACCAAATGTCTCCCTCATATGCAGACTTTAGATCAAGGGCAAACACAACAAGGGGATTGGACTCTGATCACATGATGAGGCCAGAGCACACAAGGGGGGTATGAGGATAGGCAAGAAACCCAAAAAAAAACAAGATAGCATTTGATGTTCTCAATGCAAAAGAACTAATGCAAAAACTTTAAAGCGACAGAGGCCAATAGGAGAAGCAGACCAGGAACTAGAGAAAAGGTTAGTTCAAGAAGAATTAATTTAGAATATAACACATATGTACAGGAAAGCAATGAGAGTAAACTTCCTGTATATCTATCCTTATCTCAACTAGCAAAAACCCTTGGTCCTTCCTATTATTGCTTATACTCTCTCTTCAATAAAATTAGAGATAAGGGCAAAATAGTTTCTGCCTGGTAGCGAGGAGGTAGGGGAGAGAGGGAGGGGACTGGGGGAAAGGGAAGGAGCGGGAGGAAGGGGGGAGAAATGACCCAAACATTGTGTGCACATATGAATAAAAGAAATAAATAATTCTTCCCTCATTTCTGAAAAAACTTTACTAGCCCCTCAGTTTCTATTTTATCTTGACTAGCATTTTTCATTTTATATATATATATACAGAAAACATTTTAAAAAGATGATTTATGAAATTGCACTTTACTTTCATGTTTATATCACTCTCTAAATTTAAAACCCCTCAGAACTGGAGATATGGCTCAAGTAGTAGAGTACCTGTCTAGTAAGCTCCAGATCTTAAGTTCAAACCCCAGTGCCATCAAAAGAAAAAAAAAAAAAAAACCCTGAAAAACAAAAACAGAAGGAAAAGAAAAACCCTCAATTTTCCATTTATTTTAGGCATACTCTTCAATCAAGGTTGGACTGTAATTTAAATGCTCTATATAAATTCTTTTTTACACATTTGGATATACACAAAGTATCAGAAATCACCAAACTACTTAAAATTCCTTCTGTTTATCCCTAATAAAGAGTAGATTTCTATCAGTTCTTCAGTACAACATTCAAAATAAAAGTAAGGAGTCAGCAGGGTGGCACATGCCTGTAATTGGAGTACTTGGGGAGGGAGGGTATATTCAGAAGGATTACAAATTCAATCTACATGAATATGCAATTCATCTACATGGGCTACATAGCAAGACCCTGTCTCAAAAACTAAATAAAATAAAAATAATGTGATGTCCTAAAATGAATGTGGTATACATACAGGTGATAGTTCTATCTGACTATTGTGCAAGTTCCTAAGATCCAGCATTGCTAGGGGGAGAAAAACAAAAACAAACCACACAAGGTATGTGGCCTAAATAAAAACTAACATGTTAAACATGTCTAAACACTATCATCCCTTTATCTATCCAAGTATTAATTTCACCTAACTCAACTCCTTGGTACTATACAGTGAAGACTTCAGACATTACAGACACCCAAAGCTCAGTAACTAACACAGTTAACACTTCACAACAAAATGCACTAACAGCCACAGACGGTATTGAAAGGTGAGCAAGATGGGCAATATGGCAGAGCATGGCTTTGTAAGAGAAGCACAGAAAACTCTGCAGAGAATAAAATTACATCCTCATGAAAATATTCCTTTTCTTATAGTTTTACTTAAACTTTGCTTTGTTTTGAGATAGGGTCTCACTATGTAGCCCAAGTCAGCTTCAATCTCATAATTCTCCTGTTTTAAACTGCTTATCTATACTGACTTTCTTCTGAAGGGTTTACTCACTTTCCACGAACTATATTATTAATCTCTGTGACTTCCCTATAGAAACTGAAAAGTCTTGTATAACTAGAAATTGTTATACAAATTTGGAGAGTCCAAAATCAGGGTTTTTTTTTTTTTCCTTTTGGCAGCACTAGGGTTTGAACTCTGGGCCTCACGCTTGCTAAAGTGGGCACTCTACTACTTGAGCCACTCCACCAGTCCTTTCTTGTGTTGGGTATGTTAGAGATAGGGCTTTCAAAACTACTTGCCTGGGCTGGCTTCGAACTACAATCCTGCTGATCTCTGTCTCCTAAGTAGCTAGGATTACAGGCGTGAACCACCTGTGCCCAGGAGTTTTTAGCTTTTTGACAATTAGGATTACAACGACAAGTAGGACTAAAAAGGAAATAATTCTCTGGAAGGGAAATTTTCTTCCGTGTGAAAATTTACATGGAATTACACTCAAGTTAACTACACTGAATTTGTGCTAATCAAGACCAAATCCTTCTAAATAGAAGAAAAACAGTAACTTAATAGTTTGCAAAAAAACTAGTTTTACATTTAAAAAGTTTATTTTTTGGCAAATTTTACTAACTCGGGACCAGTACCAAAATTCAGTTACCCCTCCCTTACCTAGTATATTCTATCATTTTCTACCAACAGAGTGTAAATCTGGACATTTCTCTTATTACAAACTATCATACTTAATCCATGTCTTTTTAGGGAAAATGAAATGTTATTTATGTAGCTCTCCTGAGGAATATTAGTTGTGAGCTTCCTTAATTTCACAGCATGGCAACTCATTTTTTATAACTCTGGTTTAGATATACCAAATAGATTTCAAGATTTTTAAATTAGCAAGTTTTAGAATTAGAAAGACTATAAACTATGGAAAAAAAAAAAACTTAGAGCAGAGAAGGAACGAAACTCAAGGTTGATAAAAGTTTTAAAAAATTAAAAACAGAACTGCCATGTGTTCCAGCAATACCACTTCTAGGGATACCTGAAGGAACATTAAGTCAGGTTATAATAGACACTTGCATACCCATGTTTACTGTAGCATTATTCACAATAGCTAAGCTATGGAAATAGTCAAGATGCCCCATTACTGGATGAATGCATTAAGAAAATGTGGTATTTATGTACAATGGAATTTTATTCAACAAAAAAAAGAATGAAATTTTGTCATTTTCAGGTAAATGGATGGAACTGGAGACATCATCTTAAGTGAAGTTAGGCAGGTTCAGAAGACCAAAAGCTGCATGTTTTTTCTCACTTGTGGAATACAGACCAAATACAAATGCAGCAATATCGTGAAAAACAGGTTACACTAAGGGGAGGTCACATACAAGAGAGGGAGGGTAAAAGAAGGAAGCTAAGAAGGCGAGTATGGTTGATGTTCTTTCTATACAAGAATGAATATAAAATTCTTAAGCATGTTGAAATCACAATAAGAAGGGGACTAAGGTAGAAAGGAGAAAAATGGAGGAGATGAGCCAATTCAGGTTATAATACATATATACATGGAAATGTCACAAAGAAACTCCCGGTATAGCCATCTTAAACAAAGAAAAATGTCCTTTTTAATAAACAGAGAACAGGAAAGTAAAACAAGTCCTGTCTGGGGGTTGACACCAGTGGAGGGAGGAGAGTGCGGAAAGGGTGTGGGAGGGTGAATATAATGCAAATACTGTGTGCACATATATGTAAACGGAAAAATGAGACCTGTTGAAACTATTCCAGGAATGGTGGGGAGAGGAGATAGAGAAGAATGATGAGGGGAGTGAATTCAACTATTTGATATATTGTAAGAACTTTTGTAAATGTCACAATGGACAATAAATTTTTTTAAATAAAATTTTATAACTATGGTTCTTTAGACAAGTACAATTTTTACTTCTAAAAGTAGAAATATATAGTAAAAGTACTCCTTGATCTAGTTTATTTTTTGATGACAAAGATTTTCAAATATTTTCCTTTTTCTCATGGCACCTTTATCTAATTCTCGAAATACAAAAGCACAATGTTGAATGAAATAAGTCTGTGATCATTATAATTTTAATGACTTTATTTAAATTTCAGTCTAAGTTAACCAAACATTACACAGCTAATAAAATTATTTTAAATTTGAAAAATTTTAAAATAATTAACAGCTTTTTGTAATGATAGTTTCCTACCTGTTGTAAAATGAGCACTGCATGAGTGGACTTTGTGGACTGGTGGCAATATTTGCTAACTCTGTCAGCCAGTCCACCTCATTTTCACCATAAGTATTTTCCGATATGTCTGAGGTATTCTGGGTCCAAGATGGTCTTGGATATTCTTGATGTGAAACATCTGAACTTAGCTGGTATATGGCAGATTGGGTAGGATCACTCTGAACAGCCTGAAGTTCAGGAAGGTCATCTGCAAATAAGCATCTCAAAATTATTCAAAGGAAATTACTAATATCATGAATGATATTCTAGCTGCAGTTGGAAGTCCTCTAATTTAACTAACTGATTTTGTGAGAGGAGAATCATAAATTCAAAATTAAATTCAATGTTTTCTTGAATGAAACAACTTTCAACTTAAATATTAGCAACTATATTCAGAGGTCAAAAGAGCTTGATGGAAAAGTTAACCCAACAGGCTTGATAATTACAACAAGTGTTCACATTCTGGAAAAACAGGGTTTGGTGCGTTTTCTGCCCTTTTTTCCTGCTCTTTTGTGAGGAAAAAGGCATTTGATGCATGCATATATATATAGTTACTCTTTATATACTTTGTTATTCTATTATACAGATAACAGTAACATTAAAATCATTTCCAAAAATGAGAACAGAATCATGTTTTAAATTTTTAGGTACTGCTTACATATATCTGTGTTAGGAAGATTTTTTGACTTTTTATTTTGTGGGGATTTGGGGTTTTTTTTTTAAGATGCTAGAGATTGAACCCAGCACCCCACATATGGTAAGCTCTACCACTAAGTTACATCTCAAACCTAAAAGTATTTCTTCTTACTAAGAGATTCTGAATTCCATTAATACTCATCGATTATTTTTTCCTATAAGGTAGATCATGCTGGATTTTCAGATCTCCAAGAGAAAATTAGAAATACTACCCAAGAAACACTACAAAGAACACTGACTTAGGAAAAAAATGGGATTCTCTTTTTTTATAATGAAAAAAAATTAAGGAAAAATAAACGTCTTGGAGGCCTTAAAAAAAAAAAAAAAAACCAGCCCCTGCTCTATGAAACACATACCTCCAACTCTACAGATCCATTGGGTCCCTTAAATATACAAGTCAAAAAAGCCCTTATAGTCACCTAAATGTCATCATAAAATTACATATAGTTCATATTCAGGCTAATATTCCACAACAGTCAACTAAAACTAAAATACCTCAACTGAAAGTGGTAACTTAATATATCCATTCTTAAAACTCACTATAAGGTATCGTTTTTCATGGAGCAGCCAAGGAGTTCTAAAATACTATCCCAACTTAAAATAATTCCACCCACTAATTCTCATGCTGACGTAGTTATTCCCCTTCCGTCACTCCCAGCACCCTTCCTTTGGCCATTATTTCTTTTTATAAAGGGTTTATCTTTCCAGCTCAGGAAATCAACTACTTTTTAAGTGAAGTCATGGATGGAAGGGGCAAGCTTTTGGTTCCCTGGGCCTGATTTCTTTCTGAAACCTAGAACATGATAATGGACAATCAACTATCTGATTAAAATGGTGCTCCTTGCTCAATTTTACCCACTACTCAAAAAATATTAGAGTCCAGAAAATCCTTGGCATTTAAACAGATTGTGTTTCAAAATCTTTAGGATCTCCAAATTCCCAAACATTACTGTGGCATATCATCACTTCCCTTTCGTCATTTGTAACATAAATATAGCCATACCTTCTCAAAGAGTTTTTATGAACATTAAGGCGATTACACATTAAATGGGGACAAAGCCACACTGAAAAGCTGGGCAGCAAGCCAAGGGCACTCATTAGCTATTTATTCAACAAGTTTCAGAGCAAAACAATTAAAAGTCATCCCTCAACTAACCCACACAATTCTACATGCCACATTTCTCTGGAGTAGCTCAGCAGGAGTGATCACCACAAATCTCAGAGCCTCAAGTTTCAAGGATTCAATGTCATTTCCCCATCATACCAACAAATCAGCCATGAAGAGCTCACTAGGAGGATGTTTCAAATGTAACATCTTTTTAAAAACTACACAACAGCAGGAATTCCTTAAAAGTATTTTTTGTCTGATCTTTATACATAAAATAAAGCCATTTAGTTTAATAATCTGTAAATGAATCTCTATGATAAACATAAACAATTCAGTCATACTGGTTTTAAGTAATATTTTAAAAGCAAAAACAAGTGAATGCTGAAAATTCCTAATTTACAAAACTTCACATATTCCTTAGGCAAGCAAGGTAGATGGAGGAGCTAAGTATGAAAATTAACCTGAATCTTAGTGAGACTCCTAAGTAACTTTGAATTTTCTTTACCAAGTTCCATGTGCTCATCACAGGAGTTATATCCAGGTGAGGATGGCAAATTCTCATTACACTGCAGCAACTCCAATGAGTCATTCATTCCTGAAGCTCTCTTGTCCATTACCAGCAGGAGTTTCTGTACTGCATTAGGCATCTGATTTGTCTTCACTTCCCACACCATGTTATGGTGCCCTGACTTAAAATAAAAATCATATAAGAAAAAAAAAGAAACAAGTCATATGACTTGGAGATTACAGAAGTAAAGAATCAATCAGCGACATTACTACGTTGTATTTTAACTTAACCATACATACATTGCCATTTATAGTTCTCTCAAATTCTTTGGCCCAGTAGGACTCCGTCTTGACCTACAACTGCTATAACTATGTAGTCAGCACCATATTGCATCCAAATCCTAAAGAATTAATCTCTTGAACTCATCTTTTCTCCTAAATAATAACAGCAGAATTAAATATGCTTAATTATTTAAGCCTGTAACTCTCAGAAGCACATATTGAAATAAAGCTTTTTTACATGACTTGAAATTTTAAAAAATGAACAAACTTTCCTCAACTAAATTAAAAAAATCTAGGATGTAGCTCAGTAGTAGAGCACTTGCTTAGCACGCATGATGCCCTGGATTTAATCAACACACACACACACACAGAAAAAACCTAGACACACACACAGAAAAAACCCTAGAGGAACATTCTATTTTTTTTTCTTTTTTGGTTATTCCACTCATTCACTGCATTCAGTATTTTGTTTCCTCTCATTTTGAAAGTGAACAACTTTAACATACTGAAAATTATATTCTCTAAAAAACATGTTTCTTAAAAATAGTTGGCCATATTACAGTTCTCATAAAAAATAAAAATGTTCCTATGTTTTCTTGATGAGAATTTGGGACCCAGCTCTAATAATAAAAAAAAACCTATCATTCTGAATAAACTATTATTCCAGGAAAGATGAATAATAATCACAGTAAATTTAGCTAAACAACTAGAAAAACTACCTTCAATTCAAGTAAAGTTATCACAAAGAAGGAAATATAGGCTAATATACTTAATTTCCCAGTAAAATCCAACTAAATTTTGCTATGAAAGGAAAATATGGTTATACCATTTACATTCTGGCCTTTAGTCAATGACCAAATTAGTCATTTAACAATAGTGACAACAAGTGTAAGATCCCAATTTCTCAGGTGTACTCCAAATTTCATACCAAAAACAAAGTCCTACTAAGCCAGTAAACACACAAAAAACCCTGACAACATACAGTTTTTCCTCAAACTAGAACAAAACGTACTCCTCATACCCTAGCCCAGGCTGATCAAAACACAATGAAAAGATTCTAATACGTAATACTTATGCCAGAATTTTTAAACCATGATGTAGTTACCAATAAACACTGACAAATTTTTTCTACAAAGGCTTTTTCATGATCTTGTGGATAAAATGTTTTCCTCACTATACAATACAAAATCACCACAAAAAAATGAAGATTCAGCATCTCATCCCCAGCAGCTAGATTAAGATGCAGTTAATACTTTAGTAAATTGGAGTAGGATCTTTCTCATGCACACATTTCAGTCTCCTAACTTGCTAGGTAGCTACTCACCCTACCACTTTAGTCACTCCCCCAACTCTTTTTTGCTTTTTTTTTTTCCAGAAAGAGTCTCATGGTTTTTGCCCTAGGCTGGATGGTGATCCTCCTACCTATGCCTCCTTTACAGATGGGATTACAAATGTGAACCACCACAACCAGCTTTTTTTTTGAAATAAGGTTTCACTAACTTTTTGCCCAGGCTGACTTTTAAACATGATCTTCTTGGATCTCTGCCTCCAGAGTAGCATGAGCCATGGTGCCCAGTCCACAATATTTTTTTCACACATCATATTACAGTTGATAATGCTTCTTTATGCAAGTTCTTAAACATTTTCCTATGTCATTTTCTATGTCTACAATCCCAACGACTCCAGAGGCTAAAAGGTGGGAATTACCTGAGTCCACATGTTTAAGACTAGCCTGGACAACACAGTGAGAGCCCCTCTCAAAAACTCCAAAATCTAAGTAGTGTACACGCTGTTACAATGTATGAAATGATTAGATTCTCAGATACAGATTAGTAAGTAGAGGGCAATTAAGATTTTCAACATATATACCCTTACTGCATATTGCCTTACTTTGTTTCTAACTTCTATTTTGGATGCTCCCTGCCTGCACCTCAAAAATAACCCTTATTCTGGGCACTGTTTTAGAGTATTACTCGATGTCATATAAGATACGTAGTAAAAAGAACAGTGTGTTCGAAGTAAGAAGACACAGGATTTGATCCAGCTTAATCACTTATATATTTTTATGACCCAAGCTTCTCAACTTGACTTCATGATAGGGCTCCTGATACCTGCCTTACTTCCCTCCTAAAGTAGTGGTGAGGGTGAACTGAAACAAAGTGAAAACAAAGTAAAATGACTTCTTTTAACATCTCCTATCCCCACACTGTAGGCTCTCAAGGTTCTAAATCGAATGCTTATTGAAAACCAACTATTCAGCGTATTTCCTCTTGGGGAATATTACAAGTCATCCAAAACCTCTCAGTAATAGTCACATATTATGCCACTACTTTAGGCAAGTAACATCTAGCTACCTAAAAGATGTTTGAGGCATTTGAAGAAAGTTAACGCTTCTTCAGGTTAGTATAATTACTGATTAACCAGCCTTGGTACAGTGTTATAGCAAATCTGTTGGGATGTAATTTTCCACAAAATTGATGGCCAGAAGAAATGTGATTTATCAAGTATCAGATCATGAGTTTGAGTCCTCGGAAAAACTCAAGCAAATTTAGCTTAATCAGTAATTCACAACAATTGTGACACATATGCTTTAAAAAAATGATGCCCAAGCCTCTCCCACCAAGGAAATGATTTGTTCATTCTGGAGTCCAGTCCTATAACCTGGTTTTTATTTGCTTTCAAAGGAATTCCAAGTGCAATATGTTAAGAACCACTGAGCTAAAAAGACCTAAAAATCTTTGTATTAGCTGCGATATTAGACCTCAACAACGAGCAAATCACAAATCTCAAGGAACCTATACTTCACTGGCAAGAGAAAAGTAAATAACCACCATCCTGCAGAACAGGGGGTACCTAAGAAAGAAAAAAGGAACAAAGGGCCTCCCAACGAGAGAAACTCACACTATCAGACTCACAGAGCTGCCAAAACACTGGATGAGATCAGAAAAATTTAGAATCTAGAATCACTAAAAAGTAGGATTGCCTTGTCTATCACGTGGTCATGATACTAAGGTTATAAGGATCACATGGAAAGGTAGACTAGGGTATGAATCTTCAATCTTAGTTTAGAAAAACTTAGGACTTTTTTTTTTTTTTTTTTTTTTTGAGAAACTGAGGTTTGAACTCAGGGCCTCACCCTACCAAGAACCACATGCCCAAGCCTTTTTTGCTTTAGTTATTTTTCAGACAGAGTCTCTCAGTTTTTGTCTGATCTGGCCTAGACAGTGATCCTCCTACTTAAGCCTCCTGTGTAGCTAGGACTATAGATATGTACCACCATGCCCAGCTTGTTTGTTGTGATGGGGGTCCCCTTAACTTTACTTGGGCTGCCAGAGAACTGTGATCCTCCCAAATAGCTGGGATTATAGGCATGCACCATCACATCTGGCCAGGAATTTTTTGTTTTTTGGTTTTTCGGGTTTTTTTTGAGACCTTTAGAGAAAGGACTCTTGAGATCCGGCTCTCTGAGTTTATATATGTAACATTCACCACTTATTAGCTATGTGCCCTGAACAATTTATGTAACATCTTCTTGCCTTGTTTATAAAATGAAAATTAAAAAACTCTGTATACCTTAGAGGTTACTGTGAAAACTCAGTGAGATAATGTAAACTGCTCTGAATAATGCCTAACACAAAGCAAATCTTCAACATGGAGTGGCTATTTTATTAGCAATTATCAGATAAAGGGGAGCCACCGAGGATGTTTCGGTAGAGGTCTGTCATGATCATAGCTGTATTTTAAACATTCTCTTTGAATCTATACAAAATTATATTCAAACATTATGACTATCCAGGAAGACCTATAGCATATTTAATGGAGAATGTATTTGAGGAAAAAAAAAAAGCAGTCACATTTCCAATTTCATCTGTCTATGTGAGCCACTTCCTCCAGCTTCCTTTGCAAGTGTTCTTATAAAGGAAAAGGTACTTGGCAGTATCAATGCAGATTTCTTATTTAGTAACTCCTAAGACAACTATTCTAAGATCAGTTCCTCCTAAGACAGGATCTAGTGATTGAGTTCTTTCAACAGCTAACACTAACAGTTTAGATAGCAGATTAAAACTTTCCATAGTTATCCAACTTCTCAAAAGAGCACATTTAATCTATTTTCATGACTCAAAAATCCTTATGAACATCTGTATGTGTTTCACACATAGATGTGAGCTGGAAGTCAACTCCAGCTGCATCTTAAACTTTGAAACTCTTCCATTTTACCACCTTTGTTAAGAAATTTTTCAGAGATTACACTACATACAGTTTTGTGTGTGTACAGTGCATACTTGTGTTTTGTCTTGTCCTGCCCTCCCTCTGCAGGGCCCTTTGGTTTCCCTGTTCTTCCCCATCAGCAGGTCCTGCACTGTCCATCATTCACTACAGTACAACTAACACCACCTTGTAACTTCTATCATTTCCTCAGCACCTTGCCTTAGTTATCTAATACCATCCTATCACAATATTCGTTAACATTTGAAACAAAAAACCTTTTTATTTCAAAGCACAGCCACCAACAAACAACAAAAGCAGCCAAAAATATTTATTGAACCTGAGTTCTATGTGTTGCACCTCTCACTGTTCAATGTGATCAAGTTTGGTTTGGTCTTCAGATAACTGAAATTTTGCTACTATACAAAGATACTATATAGTAAAAGAAAACCTAGACTTGAAGACAAAAGACTAGGGTCTCACTTTTCTTGGCTGTATAACCTGAGGCAAGAAACTTAACCTCAGCCTCACAGTGTCTCTACTTATCTCACGGAGCCATTGTGGGAATACAATACATGAAAACAAAATACACTGACATAGGCAAATATAAATTGTCTGTCTCTCTTCTGTCAAACTATTTTGGGGAAAGAAAACAAGGCCTCTGACAAGGTAAAGGAATACAGGAAGAGTCCTGACTCAAAAATACTCCCGCACATACATGACACTAATTAAATTTTGATAAACAAGTTCCTCTTTCAAGTATCTCCTGGTAGACAGAACCCTATTGTTCATTCACGCCTTTGGACACTGCTTTGTATTTTAGCTAACTCTGCATGTGTCATCTCTTCACTAGGTAAGTGTTTTGCAAAAGGAAGAGTAAAATTCTCCTGCAGAGAAGGGGATGCAGCAGTTGGACTTTGAAATGTCATGCGCAAAATTCCAAATTTTACTGGGTAAGGACTGGGAGGACTTATTACTTTTGCTATGCAAACTTTCAGAAATAAATACCCAAAAACTCTTAGAAAACTAGAAGAGGGCTAGAAATAACTAAGTCCTAAAGAAAGATCAAAAAGATTAAAAAAAAAAACAAAAAAACCAGGTTTTACAATCTGCATTAGCTATCTCCATGCCTACCCACAGAGCATTTCCATGTACTTCTAATTTTATTTAAGACTCTAAACAGCTCTTTGAACAAAAGACATTATGAATAAGGAAAACAGGCCTCTGACCACTACTGGGACCACTTTCTTTTTGAAGAACTAGGGAAGGGGATGTGAAAACACCACACACCAACTTAGGTTACACTCTTGCTTTCAAGTGCCTGTCTTTGCAGACCATACCCTCCCATGGCCATTATGGACTTCAGGGGGATCTTCTGTATTCTCTCCCTAAACCAAAGGACTTCCACACCAAGTCCAGACTTTTGCTCCAATTGTTTTGAAAGACAGAATGAAGAAAAAGTAATGCACAATTAGTATATGTAAAAGGAGAATGGAAGGTCTGAAGATGGATTACATAATCACAAGCTACAAGGTGCTAAAACAAATGCACATAGCAAATGCAATTTTCTACACCAAAAGCAAGTGGGAGGTCTTAATGCAGTTCTTTTAGAGTATGTTCAATGAAATGAATGCCTTTACTCTTTTCACAGAAATGTTTCTACAACTCTAGTTTGCCACTGTTAAGAAAAAACCCCAGTGGGTTTGTTCTGGTAAACTAGCCTCTCAATACTTTATGGCCTGAACAGTTTAACCACTACACCCAAGTTTTCTTATTTATACATGGGAATAAAACCCATGTATTTTTCAGAACAGTTGCAGATGTAAGAGACACTACACCCCACACTCTTGCTTTTGTTGAACACTGCCAATCCCATCTATACAAGCTACTACACTGTCACTTCAAACAGCTGGAGTCATTTTATGAAAAACTTGAAATCCAAAACTCGTATTATGAAATCTGATTTCCCTAACTTGATTGCAATCCTAGACATTTTCACATTAATGTGTGAAAAAAGCTTTTATGAGCTATCAATAAACTTTAAAAAAATTCAATTAACATGAGAAAAATTTTCCAGTTTCTCTAGAGAAAAATGATATAAATTATGATAGTAAATGCAGATCAAAATCTGAAGGAATATGAATATTACTGTCAGGCAGTTCATAAACAAGAAAATGTGTCCACTTGCCTGAATTCTTAACATACAGGTATTTGTCAATAAACTTAATTTATTCTGATTTTCCCATTCTAAGTGCATATGCCGTCTCATGCCTTGTCTTATTAACACGTGGTAGTAACTTCCTGAGGTAATTTATGCCAGAAAAAAATGTACTGATATTTTCAGATATACAATAGACCAGCTTGCAGCTCATGCTGCAGAAGCATTCAGGAGTTAATGCATTCATGAAGTCCCAGCCATATGCCTTCTTCACTGGGCACCTGAAGAGGAAAAAGTCTAAAAACGTCAAAATACAGTGGAAAAAAATAAATGGTATCATGTTTGAAGTCTGAGAAGTACAAACTGTAAATCCTGTAAAATTGGGGAAGGCATACAAGAAATCCTGGGAAAAGATATGCAGGAGCTGGAGAGATGAACAAAGGAGAAGGGTTTATGAAACTAAGTTCGAAACTACAAAGTGAAATCGAAATTTCATTCTCTAATAATCGAGTTGAGATAAACAGTATTTGCTTTAAAGTGTCTAAATGGCTTCCTCCAAACTACAAGGTAACTCAAAAAGTGGATTTAATACTTGTCAATGTAACTCAAATTCCTTTACAACTTTCAAATATTGTCAACTTAGCAAGAACTGAGTTTTACAAAAGAAACCTAACAGATGACCCAATACCCTATGTAAGATAAAGGAAAAGACACATGGAGGGAAGGGACTGGGGACAAGACAAAAAGCAAAAAGCACAAGATCACAGATTTCCATCACTGTCAAAAGTAAAAACAACACTAAAGTATTTACAAATGTCACATTTATTCTGATTTTCATAAGGTAACTTTAATTTCAAAACTATTGCTTCCCATACGTGAAACCTTCCTCGGGTCCTAGCATCCAGTGCACCAGTGAGTTCGGGGTCCTGCCCGGCTGTCAGAGCTTTCAGAGAACTCCTGCAGAATGAACTCGGGCGGGAAGCGTGCACCACGGAGAAAGCATTTAAAGCTACAAAAACCCGCCTGTCGACTTCGCCAGGGTCCTTTTTTGTTTTGTTTTAATCTGCCTGCGGCCGCGGCAAAAACTGAAAGGCGGAGATTCGAAGCCGCCTGCCAAGCTTGCGCTCCGGGTCACACGGAGCAGCACTTCCCGCTCACGCCAAGTCCACCCCCACCCTCTTTCGCCATTCATCGCGCTCCCCTCCCCTCCCCCCATCATGTGACCGCAGCCCGGACGCCAGGCTTGTTTTTCCCCTGGCTCAGCCCCACCGCGCAGGCGCCTCGGAGCCCATTCATTCGAACTGCGTAACAATGAGCCCCGGGGCCCAGCGGCTCTGCGAGCTCCCCAGCTCGGCCCGAGCCCTTCTAGGCCCAGGAGGGGGAGGCGCCTCTCTGAGGTCCCCCATCCCGGGTCAGCGCTCTAGTCCCGGCCGGTGTCCGACCCTCCGCCCACAAGCGGAGAGTTGAAGTCAAACTTTCCGGGGTAACCCCCACGCAGCCGCGCTGGCCCTTACCCCCCACCCCGGCCCGCCCCAGCTCCGCGCTTGGCCCGGCCCGGCCACCCACCGCGAACCCGGCCCGGAGTGTTGTCCTCGCCCAGTCTCCTCCCAGCCCCCGCCCCGAGACCCCGAGCTTCGCAGCCGCGAAACCCAGATGAGCTCGCGGGAGGCGACGGACTGTGGGCCAGCCGCGCGCGGGCACTAGTCAGAAGGTTGGTCGCGTCTACTCGGAGAGCAGCACAGGGAAGAGGCAGAACGCGGACCCTAGCTCGCCGGGCTGCCCGATCCCCTCGGACTCCTGCCCCTCCCTTCCCCACCCCCATCCCTTCCGAACTGAAAGACAACAAACCGCCGCTAAGTGCGTGCAAACCAGGTGCGGGCCACTCTGGCGCGACAACACCACCAGCAGTTAGCGTACCCTCTCTCGGACTGACGCCAGCCTCCCTGGCGCGCGTTACTGCTGCTGCCGCCGCTCTTACTCTTCAACCGAAACTTTCCTACTTACCAGACCCGTCGCCATTACCAAATCTTTCAAGCTTCGTCTTCCCCCTCCCTCAATCCCCCGGGGGTTGAGCCTTCTCTCAGTGTTTGCTCTCTTATTGGTCATAAGAACTGCCATTCGAGTCTTCCAGTTTCCCATTGGGTGATACCGTGGTCCGTCGCGGTGGGCGGGCATGTATTGACTTTTCTGTTGTGTTTACTGGAGAAGGCTACGTGTCAATCACTAGAGTGAGCGCCTTGGATTGGACTGCTGCCGAGACTCGGGGGACCAGAGCCAAACTTTATTTGCGAAGTGGATTGTGGGTTGGTAGTCTCAGCTTAAATCCTAGGTTCGGAAAACTCCAGCCGAAAGGAACTGGTTGGACTACATCTCCCAGAGGTGAATGCACCGCACAGTCTTGATAGTAAACAAGAGTCATAGGGACACGTGTATCAGCTCGTTTGTTTTGGTGTCTGGGACAAAAGGGAGGGGGCGGAGGAAGGGAGTGTTTCAAAGCTTGGGTCATTTTTCGTCTTGGGCCTCTGTTTGCACACACAGCAGCCCCAGTCTCTCGCAGCACCCATTCCCGGCCATTAACCGCCAGAGCCTCGCGCTGCTCAAAGTTTGGCAGGAAGCCAAGGTATTGTTTTAGTGCGAGGGGAAGGAGATGACTGCACAAGCGGAAGCAGTGCAAGCTCGCAGGCACTTGGCCACTCACAAATCATAGTCCTGGGCGCAGTGAGGATGATGATGGTGAGGCTGGGCTCCCCGCAGTGGAAGAGCCAAGTTCCCTTAACCCAGCCTTCCTCGCCAACCCCAGGACAGCAACTTGAGATTTCCTTGTCCGCTCTGTTCTGTCCACCCGGGATTTGTTGAGCGCCAAGCCAAGTGCTAGTGTACTGAGGTTTTGGGATGAGGGCAGCTCGGTCTAGAGAACTTAGAAAGCTTCTAAGAGGGGTGCACGATGGACTTGGAAATTGAGGCAAAGCGGTGTTTCCCGTATTGGCACACTTGATCGTTGTTAAATCACGCAAGAGGGTTATGAAATATCAGTAAGTTTTTGTGGTGAGCCTTTAAGCCATTTTTTTCCACGTGTCTTCCACTAGGAGTCCCCTCGAGCTCCCGATGCTCTTGACTCACCAGGAGGGTGGCTTCTCTGCTTTGTAGCTGCCTGTACTTTGAAGAGACTATTCATCACAGACTGTAATTGCCATTTTTACTATTCACATTGCAAAGGCATTATTAAGTTTTTTTTCTTTGAACCTGTAGTGTTTAGTCATTGAAGCTATACTTTAGGTTCTATTTCTTTAGATCACTAGAAGTGTGCTTAAAATTGCGATGAGGGAAATTTTGGAAGAAGTCTGAAATCATACCTAGTTATTTCTTTTTAAACTGCCTAAGTTTTTGAATTTTTATTATCTCTGTACCATGTGAGGAAAGATTTTCTGTGTTCAAAAATAGTATCACACATTGTAGTTTTTCTCAAAACTAATTCAAAAGAAAGTAAATAAATATGAAAAAACAAATAATTGAGAAGAGAATCAAAATGCTTAAATTTTCCTCTAAGAATAAAAGGACAGGATTTGAATTTATATCTTTCAGAGATTATACAAAAAGAAAGACTTGTGTTTCTACTATTTGGTAGACATTTATAGATATATATATAGAAAGTGTGTCATCATGTTCCATAATTAGAAACATAAACTCCAACATTTAATTTCTTGACAAATAGAAAAAACTGTAGATTTGTAATCATTTTCAATTAAGATCTGTGATATTTATGTCTAACTCACTCCTTCCAGAAACTAAAAAAGCTTCCCTCCCCAGAAACAAGATCTGGAGGGCTTGAGCCACTGATTTACACAAAGAAAGATCTGTTTTCAGCTGAATGTGACTTTTGGAGTTAAACCATTTGAAACTTTTTACCAAAAGTCTTAGTTAATGGTGATTTTTTTTTAAACTGGAGATCACTAGGATGGGAAGAATACAACTTCAGATACAGATACACTGTACACTATTATAAGTAATAATTTATCCTTTAATAGCACCATAAAACTTTTTCCTTTCAAGAAATGTTTTAGTTCTGTTTGTTGACCACTGTGCTAACTGATAAAAATACAAAAATATGAAACATTTTTTGCATACTTTTATCTCACCCTATGGCCAAGTGTTTCAATATAAGTTAAATTCATCACAACAGAACCCCTTGTAACAACTGACCTATGCTAATAAAAAGGTTTTAAAAAAATCTGCAAAAAAATAAATTCAGATAGGTCACAGCTGGATAAATATGACTATCAGAATTCCCCCACACCTTTTAGTGGACCTTTTAGTCCTGTTTTCTGATTTCCCTGGAAACTGAGTGAACACATTAGTACCGTCTGCATAGTTACAGAAACGTCATCATTCATTCTTGAGTAACCAACAAAGCCAACCAACCTGAAATCCAAAACAAAAATCGAGTATAAAACCAGTAAGAGCTCCTTAGAAAGTTTTACATATGTAAGTTATAATCTGACTAAAACAGTCCTTCAGTTGTTTCCTTTATATAATTGAGATGAAAAATTAAGTTTCTTTTCATTTTTTAGAGTTTTTTGTTGTTGTCTTATTTTTGTTACTGTTTTTGTTTTTTGAAACAGGGTCTCACTATATAGTCTAGCTGGTCTCAAACTCTCGATCCTCCTGCCTCAGCCTCCTGATTGCTGGGATTACAGGCATATGCCACCACACCTGGCTAAAAAAATCAGTTTAATACTTCTTGGTTAGTGTAATGAACACAATATACTCGTACATCTGTAAAATATATGCCAGGATATGTCAAGAAATTGTCATCTCAAATCAAAATGTCTTTCAGCAGTTAGAAGAACTACTTATCATCATAAACACTAAGTTCTTATTTGTTAAAAAACAGTATAAAAATTAAACAGACATCCTATATAGGATTTACTTCATTTCCTGTTTAGAGGCAAAATTAAGCAGTGTCCTTGATTGCTCCATATCTAGCTCACCAGTGACGACCTTGCTGGACTAAGAAATGTGATGATAGAAGTTGAAGCATACGATGTTTGCCTCTTAGGGTATCACTGTTCACATTGTTGAAAGATGAACAAAATCATTTAAGTACTAAAATTAGGAAGTAGAGCAGCATGTATAGTCTAAAACAGTAAGTGCGCAATCTTTTCAGATACTTTCTTAGTAGATTATTTAAACTCTTACAAATACCTTTCCATACATCTTACTGTACTTGAAAATGAGTTAATTTTATAGTTACCTTAGTTCAAAGAATTCAGATAAACTCATGTAATAAAATGCCTGGGAGCTGAGGAGTGTCATTTTAGAAATGTAGTTATATGTGTCTCTTGTTTTCATAACTCTTTTATGGGGGGAAGGGCAGTACTGGGATTTGAACTCAGGGCTGTACTGTTTCAGTATTGCCTCCAGCCCTTGTTCTTGTAATTCTTAATGCAACTGAAAGTGTAGATTTTGCTCAGATGACCGTTAAAGCAAAACCATTCTTTAGTGGCTGATATATGGGTCTCTTAACACTTTAACCATTAAGAAGAATCAACGGAAGAAGAAGGGATCAAGAATGATTGTTGGGTTTCTGGCATAGGCAATTGACGTATGTTGATGGCTCTGATGGAAATAGGAATATTGAAGAGAATAGATCTGGGGACTCAGACGAGGGAAAGGGATGGATTCAAATTTAGATGCTAAGCTAAGAGGAGGCAAGAATTTTGAATACAGGAGTGCAACTGAATGGACTTAAAGAAATTTATGTGTCCTCAGGAAATGGAGACTACTCTTTCTGGTCTCATTCATATGCTAAAGTTTATCTCAAGTTACTCAATTTGGCATAAATGAAAATGTGACTATTTAAAGAAATTGAAAAAACACTCTATCTTCCAGTTTATAAAACCAGGCTCAAATAACTTCTTTGTGTTTCATTGAGAATTTTCTAGAACAGATAGTTCCTGGTATCTGACCTGTTTAACACATGACTCCCACAATAATTATTTTCTACTCATGTCTATTTGGTGTAGACTCTTGAGGCTCTTGTCTATCATTTTACTTGTTAATCAAGATTGCTGCACTCTAGTGGACAATGAAGTATAGTAACAATTAGTACCATAGGAACAGGATGTACATAGCTTCATTGCACTGTTAAACTTTTTTGCTTACATAGGGCTTCTTCCCACATTTACTTTCCTCTTCTCTTTTTTTTTTCTTTTATCCATATGTGCATACAATATTTGGGTCATTTCTCCCCCCTTCCCCCTCCTCTTCCTTCTCTATCACTCTCTTAGCATTTTTTTGCCTGGTGCATAATAAGTTATTGCTTAAGAGATGAATGAAATATTGGGGGAAATAAGCAGCATGAATTTTCTAATGTACTGTATACTTTCCTGTTATCATATACTGTTTTGAACACTGAGTTTGTTAAATCTCTTTCATGTGCTTTAAGCATCACTTACTCTGGGTAGTCATTCTCGGTTGAACATCTGTAATCAGAAAATCCCAAATCCTAAATGCTCTGAAATAATGAAACTTTCTGAGCATCGTGTCAGCTCTCAAATAGTTTTGAGATTTCTTATCACAATGAAACCCTTTGTGCGAGTAATATACACTAACAAAACAAAGCTTCAGATTTTAAGCCATTCGGCATTTCAGATTTTCAGATTAGAGATGCTCAACAAGTGAAATATTCAAATATTCCCAAATCCCCAAAGTCTGAAATGTGAAACACTTTTGGTCACAAGCATTGCAGATAAGAGACACTCAACTTGTACTGGTACTTGAAAACAGGTTTCATCTTCCAGCTACATTAAATAAGTACTATTCATTTTTGTCTCAGTCAGTATTACTCATGCTAAGGCCAACAAAATATTTGTCTATTACACCTCAGCTTGTTCAAGTTACGCAGAGTGTCACAATCTACTACAGTAATAAAATGTTAAAGACCTTCATTTAAGTTGAGCTTCAAAGAGCAATTAAAGAAAAGAAAAATGACCAGAGATGTCCTTTTAATACCTGTCTATCTTAAAATGTTATTTCATTTTTAAAAATGTCATTTGTAGCTGGGCCTGCTGCTGTGTGCCTATAGTCCTGAATACGAGGAAACCTGAGGTAGGAGGATTGCTTAAGCCCAGGAGTTTGCAAACAGCCTGGGCAACAGAGCAAGACTCTGTCTCAAAACAAAAAAGTCATTTTTACACATTTTAAGAATATAGTCATATGTACAGGAAGTACACTTGTTTTCACTTTCCACGAAAAAGATGCAGTGAGCCTCCTGGGCTGCGCTGTCAGCTCTCTTGTTGCTCAGCAGAGCCCTCCTTTCCACTCAAGACACAGACAGATGATGAGCAATTAAAGTAACTTTACCCAAGGTTTAGGCTGGTCATATTTCTTATAAACTCTTTCAAGGGTTCTACTTTGTACACCTTTTCCATGCTAAATAGAAAATATTTAGGATTTCACACCTGAGTTGTCACACTTCAGGGGCAAAGCTGTGTTTGTCATTTGAACCCATTTCCACTCAAACTTTCCCTCATACCTGGAAAAAAGTCATTTTCCGAATTTCCAGTTGACAGTTTAAAAAAAAAAAAAGCTCTAATATGCTATAATGAAACTATTACGATTCTTACTAACCAAATAATATTTCCTGTGTTATATTTTCCAGTGTCATTTTTTTGGCGGTAGTGGGGTTTGAGTGTCATTTTTTATATTTGGGAAAATGGCAAGCTTGAGGCTATGAGTAAATTAAAATGCCCTAATAGGTGACATTTCACCTTTATTAATATAGACAATCCCATATAACACATCGTCCCATTTTCTTCTACATAGATGATACATAATGCTCCAGATTTTCAAGGCAATTTTAGATTTACAAACTCAGAGCATACAGGATTAAAGACCCACATCTGTTGGTCTAATGAAAAGTTTTCCTCTAAATTGTCTTTAGCTTGCCAACAGTATACAAATTTCTCTGTGCGGTAAGCTACAGAGTAACATTAGTTAGAAAGTAGGCCAAGAATTTTAGAAAGCAACAGACCTCAGTTCTCCAGGAATTCTGTCATCAGGTCACAAAGTAAATAGTCGATGGAGTCATGGAATCTTTGTACTGAGTACAATTTATACGCCCATGGTTATTTTTGGGCCCGTAAGTCTTCTACAAATAACTGGCATACTTTGCTGCTTGTATTTCTACAATTCATTGTACTTGTGTTTTTTTGTTTGTTTTTTTATACCTGTGAAGAAGAGCAACTGTATTTTCATCCACTTTTTCTGCCTTTGAAAATATTCTGGAACAGGTATGGTTATCTTAACTCTTACTGCAATTTTTTTCCTTTTTGTCAACATTCTTTCTGATACTTAACATCAGGCTGTACTTCCCACTACCTTTAGTTTTAGTAGCCAGCGTTCCTTGTAACGGGTGTTAATCTTTTGTTTTGATTTTGTTTCGAGAATCCCCTTTTCAGGTATTTAACAAAGCCTTGGCTTAATCTAGCTATAATGCCTCTAAACATACACATTCTTTGTTTTACGGATACTGCAGGTTAATGTAACATTTCTTTAAAAGTTAGGCAACATGTCTGTATTTTTAAAGACACTTTGGAAAGGAAAAGTATTCATTCCCCCTCCCCTCAGTGGCAGTGGGGTTTGAACTCAGGACTTCATCAGCTTGCTAAGAAAGGGGTTCTACCACTTAAGCCATGCCCCCTGCCCAGTACTTTTCTTAATCATACACTTTCAATGAAACCGAAAGTCCTTCCTTCATGCCATCTTGCACTTACAGCCTGTTAAAACATTTTACTTTTTATAAATTTTTATTAGGATATATTCATTATACAGGAAGGGAATTCATAGTGACAATTCTCATTAGGCTTATAATGCACATTGATTAGGTTACTCCCATCCTCTCTCCCCCTCAATCCCCTCCGACTTAAATCAATTGCAAGAGGTTTCTTTGTTCTATTTCATATAAGTATGTGAAGTCTGTCAACCATACCTTCATCTTAATCTCCCCTTCATTCTCCCTCCACCAACTAGTACCCCCTCACACACACACTGTACCTATTGTAGTCCTGTCCTTCATTACTAATAAGTAAATTTATGTTCAGAGGGGTTTCTCTGTGTATCCCCATTGTGGGTGTACTTTATTTTGGTCAATTCAATCCTCTCCATTACTCTCCCTTACCCCTTTGCCTTCCACCCCCTTTTCAACAGCTTTCAATACCCATCCTTATATCCTCTACTTTTAGTTATATTTTACAATATTACTGATGTTCTATCATTCTTTTCCTTCCCCTCTCTCCCCAAGTTCCAGAGAATAGTTCCACTATTAGACATGTTCTACTTGAGTTTATATATGCTTATTTTTGTATATTTGTCTTTTTGTTGTATCTTCCACATATAAGAGAAAACATGCAGTCTTTGTCTTTCTGATCCTGACTTAACTTCACTTAACATGATGTCCTCCAGTTGCATCCATTTACCTTCAAACCACGTGTCATTATTCCTTACAGCTAAGTAAAACCCCATTGTATACATAACCCATTTTCTTAACCGATTCATTAGTTGTAAGGCATCTGGGTTGTTTCCATAGCTTGGGTATGCCATATGATCCAGTGACACTGCTCCTGGGTATCTACTTGAAGGAATATAAGTCAGGATACAATGTACCCCAATGTTTGTTGCAGCACCACTATTCATAATAGCCAAGTTATAGAAACAACACAGATGCCCTACACCTGATGAATGGATCAAGAAAATGGGGTATAAATACGCAATGGAGTTTTACACGGCCATAAGAAATAAGACATTTGAAGTGGTCTGGTACCCAAGGTTACAATGGTAACCCAAATATATTCACCCAACTTGTGTTGTAGGTAGTTTTTTTGTTTAAATATGTGTTCTAAGCCCTAAATCATATTGATATGCAGGAAACAGATTCCCATTTATATATATTTAAAACAAGTAAGAGGAGACACCTTTGTTCTCCAGGAAGAATTCCTAAGCCTTAACCACACAAAGGCTCCATGCTGAATGAAAACATCAACAAAGGATTCCTGAATAGTAAAAACTCTTGGTTAAATATAATGACATTTGGCTCAAGCCTGTAATGCTAGCTACTTGGGACATAAAAATAGTATTAAGGTTTGAGGCCAGCTGGGCAGAAAGTTCACAAGACTCCACCTCTCAACCAATGACTGGATGTAGCGGCACGCATCTGTCATCCCAGCTACACAGGGAAGCACACAATAGGAGGATCATGGTTCAGATGACATAAAGCAAGACCCTATCTCAAAACTAACCAAGACAAAAAGGGCTCAGGGCATGGCTCAAGTGATAGAGCACCTGCCTAATAATTTGTTGCAGGAGGCCCTGAATTCAAACCCCATTACCAAAAAGAAGCTTTTCTAATTATATAATTTTACACATGAATTCCCTAGTTAGCCAGATTTACTTGGTTATTGTAAATAGTCATTTCTCATATGACCAGTAGTTAAAAGATGACCCTATTACTATATAAAACCACAGTCTCCTGCTGCACTGTGCTCTAGGTTATTAGCTTCTGTGTGCTGTATCTCTGTCATGAGACTTGTTGCATTCATGCACTGTGCAAGTCATTGAAGAAGCAAAGCACTAAAAACAGTACGATGTTTTATTATAAAAGTGTGCTTTATTATAAGGAAATTTTAAATATAACCAACAATACTGAAAATAACGTAACTGGCATTTATAGCCTTGGTCAGAGTTCTTTATTAAACAGGCATTTGTTTAATGTTCCATGAATAGTTCACAGTCAGCTTATGCAACAAAAGACGTAACTTGGAAAACTGAATAAAGAATAAATACAGAATGATGAACCAGGAATTTGGGTTTTGTTTTTTGTTTTTCCTTGTTTAATAGACATGGCTTTTCAAATAAACTCTGAAAAAGAAAACAAGTCATCTTCATGTAGAATTCCCTCTTCCTAAAGTTTGCAAAAATGTTAATATTCTAAAATGTGGCTGAAGTTTTAGTTTACATACCTTAACTTCTTATATATACATTACCCAATTAACATTCTAACCATGTTTTTTTGTACAAGCAGGACCATAAACTTTCCCTATAAGACCACAGTTGCCACAGGTTAATTTTATCCGTGCACGTGTGTGTGTGTGTGTGTGTGTATTCTGAAACATGTTTCCCAAAATGAAATTGCTTATTTAAAAGTGAACAACTGGTTAGAATTAATGTCTCTAGATAGTTGGTCATGGGACCTAAAAATCATGTACGAGGGGATATTGTTTTGGTTGAATATAACTAAAAATATCTTACTTGGCAGCATAAGCAATTCAATGATCAATGAAAAATCTAGTAAATTCTGAGTTTTCTGTACTTTTAAAATAAGTCCACATTAAAGCAAATAGCTAGACTTAATGGTATATGTGGTATGAACAGAAATTCATTTTATCATTATATATGCTTTTGCTTATAAAAATTTATTTCTACTACTGTAGATGAGCTTTTAATGGGAAAAAAGACCAAAGAAACCTCACTGCTGCTCATCTATGAGATTACCAGTTGGCAAGCATTACACAAGGAAGAAAACCACAGAGGCAGGTACGTGCAAAGGACTGTATTATTTAGGCCTGGTGAAGAACAAAGAAATATTCTGTGGGCATGGAGATAAGGATCCCAAAGTATTTTTGGTATAGAGGGTTTTTTCTTTTTAAGTATAAGATCTTAGGCTTTTAGACAATGAAAAAAATGTCAGATTTAACAAGTTTAAGTAGCTTTTAAAAGAAAACTTTGTGACATTAAGTGTCAAAATCAGACTTTTAAAGATAAAGAGTAATAGGGAGTTGCAGAATGAAAACAAGGAAGCAGGGCTACGTGCCTGATGAGGAACGCATTAATGATCTTTTCCTATTATTGTAATGACTAAATTACCAGTCCTTAAAAACCACTGGAATATGTTACTGACACTATGCCAAAGAAGTCAAAATGAACTTTATTGCAAAAAATATAAAAAATTTTTAAATTGCATATGTTTTATACCATTTCACCAATAGGCCAAGGCCAACACAACTTATCAAGCCAGAAAAACTTTAAAATGAAAATGACTGAAATCTTACAATAGATAATGAGTTATAAAAAACAATGATGCCAGGCTGTGTAGCATGAATGACTGCCAAGTTCCCTCTTACGTGGGCATAGTCACTAGTTTTATATCAATCTGAATAAGTCAAACACATATTGCCTATAATAACATCTTTTAATTATTTTCTTAAACATGGATGCTTTCAATATATTACAATCATTGTAATAAAACTTTCAGTCAATAATTTTGTGGAGTAGAAAGTTATTTTACCAATATGTTGATTTTTTTTATGAACTACTCATTAGAAAGTCATGTTAAAGCCTATTGACTATTAAATCACTACTGTTTACTGATACATTGTAAATGTAAAAAAAGGAAAAAACCCGAAATCACAGAAAATGCTTGGCATCTACACAAACACATTCTCAGTGGGCTAACCACTACTGTGTAAGTTTTCATGATCGGTCATCTTGCTCTGTGCTTTTGCTTCATGCAGTGGGTTCAACAATATCCATGTTTGTTCCAAACAGAGCAACTAACTGTTCTTCATAGGTGGCGATGTTTCTTTTCATAATTTCCATGCAAGGTCCCAAAAGCCTTTCAAATGCTTGCACATCCATAGCTGAGGAAAGGAAAGAATAAAGTGAAAATAATTTCTGAAGTTCTGAGTCTTTATGATGTACACTCCATCATGATATTCCATTTGCACACTGTGCAATTATGTATCAAGAATGCAGCAGTAGTTTAGGTAAATATTATAAAATACAATAAAAAGCATAAAGATGAAAATGTTCTGCTTCAAAAAGGCAGCAGCCTGGGCTTCCTCCAGCCACACACACACAGGTCCCTTGGTAGATGACATGCGATGCCAGAAAGGGAGGGCTGAGAAAAGAGTTGATGGGCTCTTATGGTAAGCCTTGGAACTTTTAAAAATAATTTTTATGACTCTAGTTATATGAACCCCTCAACATGCCAAGTGAGTATTTCCTACTCTGTTGTCAGAATTTACAAAAGATAACATTTGTTGTGACAAGCAAATATTATCTTTTATAAATTATTTTTTAAGTGGTACTGGGGTTTGAACTCATGGCATTGAACTTGCTTAGGTAGGCACGCTATCATTTGAGCCACACCCCTAACCCCATAAATTTTACTTTTATACCATTGTCCATGCAGTCCAAAACGGCAGTCAACATACACTGCTTTTTTCCACTTCTATTAAAACACTTCTTTCATCCGAGTACATTATTTGATTTATAATACACTTAAGAAGTTAATTCTGAGGATTCATGCAAATCATAAAAACACTAAGTTTATCCTGTTAAACTGTAGATGAAGAACCTGGAGAGGCTAATACAGTATCACTTTGCTTATCTGTCTCATGCTTTTTTAAATGAATTTATAAAACACAGATGGAAAATACCATATTATCTACCATGAACTAAACTTTTTGCCTTTCAAATTTGCAAAGATTAAAAAAGGCAGTGTTTATAAGAATAGGGTGAATAGGCAGTCTTGCCCTGCTAGTGGCATGTTAGTTACCACAAATAAAAGTAACCTGACAATATATATTGTCTTTTACTGCTGAAAGCCATTTCTAAGGGCAAATCCTATACAGGGAAAGGTCATCTGTGCATGTGTTCGCACACAAAAAAATTGAAGCCAAAACCCACAAAATATTTACCAGTGGGGAGTGATTAAATAATTTACCATGTATACAGTTACCTAATAGAATGTGTAAAATTAATAAAAGAATTCTTACTAAGCTATTCATAAATTCTGAAAAGCTATAATGGATGAGCAAAGCAGTTTGCAAATTTTTATAAAATGAAATCCATGCAATAAAGGCAAAAAGGAATTATAATAGTGGAAATGCATGGTGGTAATGGTGTGGGTGACTCTTAGTTTTTCCTATTTTCTATATTTCTCAAATTTTCTTTAATATGAATATAATCATTATAGAAAAAAATTAATAATCTCATTCACATAACCTTACTCTCATAGTCTAATAGCTATAGTGAGAGAAACTGCCTGTTACTAATTGTCTTCGCTCTCATCCAAGAAATCACTTGATTAATATTATACTCATTTAAAACCTTTTAAAAAGTGACTTCTCTAAGAAGTTAATTCTGAGGCTCCTTGCAAATTTTAAAGCCATTGAAACTAAGTTTATCCTGTTGAATTGTGGATGAAGAGCCTGCAGAGGCTAATTACTGTGGAATCAATTTTCTTCCCGAGAATGTCAGTTACACTGCCACTTGCCGAATTCTATTTTTATTACCAAAGTAAGTGATTTCTCAGACAAAAAATCTCAGATACATAAAGACGTCTTCTAGCTGAAGATGGCACTTCTGCCAAGCTCCTCAGATAGAAGAAAATATAATATAAGCAACAAAGATACTTGCTTATGCTTCCGTAACCTGAACCTTTGAGCCCAAGTGCTCAGATTAGTGTGTTCTCATGGTTATCTCCCCCAATCCCTGCAGAGCTTATTCTGAACTTTACAAAAAAATATTATTTTGAGGAACATAGCACAATTTGTTTATTTGACACGTTAGATCTAAAACTTAGTCCTTGGAATTCTTATCTAGATTATTGGAGTGTTATTTCATACATATACAAAAGAACAAAATGTATGAAAAAATTTCCAAAGAAAAAAAAGAGTCATGAGTTGATAATACAAATGCATTGCTTCCTAACTGCTATATTGTGTGCAGACCACAGAACTTGTGAACCCAATAAAATGATCCATACAGCATGAACAGCTAAGATGCAGACATAATAGTTTCCATGACCAGCTCTGCGATCCATACCTAAACACTTGACAGTCCCAATGGCGTGTGCAGAAGCTGCTCGAGGTTTGTTAGTCACCAGGGCAAGCTCTCCAAAGTACTGTCCCCGAGAACACCGAGCGATCTCTACTGCACCGTTCTCTTCCACTTCTGATTTACCCTGGAAAGGTAATCGAAAATAGTAACTTTTACTCTGCTGAGGAAAATAAAAGTTAAGCTTAGTTTAAGCAACAAAAAAAATCTCTTCTGTTCTTTGCTAATATTACATGGATTTTTAGGACTTAAGAATACATACCTTTCTTTTCATTGTAATTTTCACTTCTCCAGATTCTACAATAAAAAAAGAATCAGCCAAATCTCCCTATGAGAAGAAAACAATAAAAATAGGATGAAAATGCAAATTTATTTATGCCCTTGAAATCAGTGCAAACTACGCACAGATATTTGCCTGAAAAGTGAAATCCCAATGCGAAGAGGCTATTTCTTTTTCTAAAATTAAGAGGTTACAACTGATAACTATAAAGTAACAGTTTCATTTGTAAAATTATTTAAAATAACATACTCTACCAACAGCATCTCTGCTAAAAACCTAGAAAATATGGCAAATAACACTGCAAAAAGAGTCTTCCCCAAATTTTGGCCTACCCAATAGTATTCATAGTTCGAAATGGCAAAATTGCTGTGCATCCCAGCAGCCAGCAGGAATAACACATCAGCTGGTCCCGTGCTTTGGGAGGTGATAACGTGCACCCTGAGTCGCTATAAAGTAACAAGCACTGGTGTTAAGGCCTAAGGTCAGCATAGACTTGCAAAGAACAGAAAACACCTCTGTGCCTTTGGAGATACAGGTGTGGGCTCTGAGGTTTTTACTGCAGGTAGGTAAGGACTGAGCTCTAACGTGACAGTCTATTGACAGCCCACCTACAGGCTGTGAAAGACTTCTAAAGTTCTAAAAAGTAGTGCCATTTCTAACTACATACCCAGTTTATTTATTTATTTTGCAGTACTGGGGCTTGAACTCAGGGCCTTAACCTTAAGCCTACCTTTTTGTGATGGGCTTTTTTGAGATGGGATCTTGAGGAACTATTTGCCTAGCTGGCTTCAAACAGTGATCCTCCTGATCTCTGCCTCCTGAGTAGCTAGGATTACAGGTGTGAACCACTGGCACCCAGCTCAGTTTTTGTTTTTGCATGAACTCTGTCTTGAGTTCCAGTAATGATTTTTTAATTAAACAACACACTATGAAAGATAATAGATTTTCTGTTTTAGCCTCTAAACATGATTCTGGAGAAACAAGTATTTTAAAACTCTTTAGTACAGCCCAAAAACTTAGTATCAAATTTTATAACAATTAGCATGCTCAGGCCTTGGGTTTGATCCCTAGTACTGCAAAAAGTAAAACCAACCCTCAAAATTATATCATAAAAATAAATGTTGAATCTAGAGTTCTATAATATAGTATAAATATATATGCTTATAAAACATCTAATATGTAAATGCATCTTTAGTAAACTCTTAAGTATAGTATAGTTCTTTTTTTTTCTTTTTTTGATGGTGGAGAATGAACCCAAGGCCTCTCTATCACTTACCTACACTCCCAGATCCCCCTCCTTTATTTTTATGTCAAGCTTTTATAAGAGCTTCATGCTAAATTTTCAAGTCTTATGAATCATAACAGGTCTATCAGCTGCAGTGTAAATGTACTTCAAAGGGATGTTGATGTAAAACTGGTAAAATGTGAATAAAGTCTGGATTGTGCCAATGTCAGTTTCCTAGATTTGACATTGTATAACAGTGGTGCAAGGTGCATTGGGAGAACTGGGTGAAGAGTACACAGGAACTCTCAGTACTGTTCTTCCAACTTCTTGTGAATCTGTATTTCAAAATAGAAAGCTAAAAGCAAAATCACTTAAGGGGATAGGGGTCTAGCTCAGTAGCAGAGCACATGCTTAGTATGCATGAGACCCTGGGTTTAATCCCAGAACCAAATAACAAGAACAACAAAAAACCCAAGCATTTAAAAAGCATGCTATAATGTGTTATTTACTAACTTATATATAATAGAAACTTAGCATTGTTCTCCAGTTTGACGCCACTTCTTCCTAATCTGACTGCTCTAATTTCACATATATGTGGACACATCCACAGGGGTGATTTAGAGATTTACTTATTTGCTGTCCAAACGATGATCTTTTCCTGTCTAAAAGACCTTGAATCTTACTTCACATGTAAAGGAAGAGACCATAACTCAGAGAAAGAGTATGATGCAGTATAATGTTGTAATTCAAACATTACACCATCTATTAAAATCCATTTAAATTGTGTACTCAGTGCTTCTAAAGTATGACTAGGAAGTAAGGTACATATTTACCTATGAACTTCAATTGTCTTCATAAATTCTACTTTTAAGCAGCCCTATTTCTTACTAAGGTATGTAATACTATTGTTTCCAACTGGGATCTTAGAAAATCATTAGTGGTTAAAGAACATGTTTACTTAACACATTAATGCTTGGAAGCCAATAAAGTACGTGATGCAATGTGTCCCCTTCTTGGTGAACATTATCTGGAAGCAGCCACAAGAAGTTTCATCATGAACTAATCATGCAGACTCTACAGTATCTCCCAATAGACTTTGGGGGTTCTTATTAATCTTATGGAACATTTGCCTTTTTTTCTCATAAATGACATCTTACTCCCTATATTCATGAATTTTATGTCACATATAAATTGATGCAGAAAGCCATTTGATGATTTAATACATACTAATTAGGAGTTAATCATATAAACAAAAATTTTCAAATAGCTTAATAGCTATAAATTAAACCACTTTAAGTGGTTATTTGGTAGAACTCATATTCATTTAATCTCTCAGTGCAAACTAATTATACAAACAAAGTTTACTAAGAAATATAATGTAAAAAGACTTTCTAAATTGTAATCCTTGACTGAAGTACATTTAAGAACATTATACCTGAGCAATGATTTGTTCTCCATCATTATAAACTTTGGTGCCTATCACATCTACCACTTTCAGGCGTTCAGAAACCTATAAAGGAAAAAAGAAGATGATTAAAAGAAACAAATTGGGTAATCTTACCTATTTTACAAGTTAAAAAATGGTAGCAAACGGGCTAAAAAAAATTGAGCAGTATGTGGGTTTGTATGTGTGTTTGTTATATTAAGTAACTGCTAGCATTTTAAATTTTGCATTTCTAGCTTCTCTTAAATATAAGACTCAGCAACTCTCAGACCATATTTCCACATGGCAACAAAACTGTGGTGGAATTGCAGCTGTTTCTTTAGATGGAGCACATGTTCTCCAATTTGCCAAATCCCTTGCTGGCTTGATTTTTGTCTTTATGTTACTTGCCTAGCTCTGAAGGCACTGGATTTCCACCCCTGCTCTATTTCTATTTAAGGAGATAAGCTGCTGGAGAAGATCAACTGCCTCACATGCATTCTGTAATGTGGCCAAAATTCAACCAGGCATAAACTGACAATCCAACAGGAACATTACAGGTACATGTTTATGCCTCTCTTTTATTACTGTCAAAATAGTTCAAATATGAGACTAAAACATCTAGAAAAACACTTGAATTTAACAATGAAGTATGGAAAGTGAAACCAATTTTTTAGGGTAATAACTCTCATTTCTGCTGTCAAATACAAAAACTTAACAGCTGGTCTCATTGAGAAGACATCTGGGCTAAAAAAAGAAGGAGGTAATGAGCCATGTGGCAGTGTAGGAACATTCTAGAGATGGGAAGCACGCAGGCCTGACGTGAGGGCTGACATGTTTAGGGACAGCAGGAAACCAGCATATCTAGAACAGGATGAGTGTGCAGCAGAAAGAAATGGGGTCTGAAGGGTACAGGGTGGGACACAGAACACTGTGCAGTATGTTAGAGGCCTGTGAAGAGAGTCTTAAACAGAGCACTGCAGTGATCTAGGCTTTAAAAGAATTTTGCTAGTAGCTGATATAAGCCAGGCAAGAGGTGGTGATGGCTCATACAGAAGGTGACGCTGGGGAAGTTAGTGGTAAACGACTGGATGCTGGATACATTCTAAAGATGGGGTGTTAAAAGTTACTAACAGATTGGGCAAGGAGGGGAAAACAGCTGCATAAGTGCTACTACCTCCAAAGTTTCTTCCCTGAGACACTGGAAATATAGCATTGCCATCTACTAATAAGATGGGAAAAAGAGAGGAGGAGGAGGTTTGGGATGTGTTAGGTTTGATTTGTGTATAAGATACCTGACAGGTGATATTAAATAAGCAGTTGTCAATTTTAGGAGGTATCAACATACAGATAGCCTTTAACTATGGGATTTGATACATTCTAAGAAGAGACCAAGGTTGCGGGCCTGGAATGCCAATTTTAAGAGGAAAGGAGAAGGAAATAAACAGCAAAGATAGCTGACAGGGTGAGGCCAGGGAGGATCTTCTGTGTTAGATAACTTCTCTCTGTAAAGTTCAACTAGTGCCTCTTTCCAACATTATATGATTAAGCTGCCATTATATAAAGACCATTTAAAAACCTGCTGTAGATGCTGGGAAGAGTCTTCTACTTACAAGTAAAACAAATGTAGTTATAGGTAGTTAAAGAAATACTGAGTTACAAAGCCCAATGCTACCATTTGTTCTTTTTATATGAAAATATAGTTAGATTTTTGTTGAGGAAACTTTTATGTAGAACTACTCCTTTAAAAAAAAAAAAAGCTTTTTAAGCAGAATAAAAGCTTGAACATACACTTACCTCCAGAGATTTAAGGAATGGCAGTGACTCAATAAAGCTTTCATACATTTTTCTCTTTTTGGCATTATTCTTTACAATTATTCTCCTGAAGGTCACCCTGTCCTAAAGGCATAACATCAAGTACAAAGACAGCTAAGTTGTGTGGACGAAAAAGACTTTACAAATAGTTTTATTCCCAAGAAGGAATAAACAATTATTGAAGATTTTGAAATTAAAAATTAACATCATTATACTTTTTAATTCAACTCACTTCAGATTTTATTTCTTCAAAGACAAAATATAATATTGAACCATATAAAAAAAATTTTTTTAAAAAGCATCAGTTTATTTTTATTCATAACAGAAGCTATATTGGGGTATACCCACAAGGAGTCACTGTCACACCATGTAAATACATAGCCATGTATCTACACTAGTACTGTGTTGATCCTTTACTGTGGATAAAAGCTCTACAGGGTTGAAACATTAATTAAGTGGGACGAATTCAGCATTTTTATAAAAAAAAAAAAATGGGACAAAATCTCAGGGTGCATTCCTCATAGTAAAAGTGCTGTTTTATTTCAGTCATACACAAAGACATATGATGGTCCTAATGTGTTTCCTAAAGTTGAATGAAATAAAACTCACACAAAAAACGGTACAAGAAAAAAATTAATCATAAAGAAATCACAACGTAAGAGATACTGAAAAATTACTCTAAGTTCTGTTTCATATCCATACTATGTCAAAATTTTTAAGAATGTGAAGGCATGGAGGAACTATCTTTTCAAATAAGGTCTAACTCCAGAGCTTAACATGTTTATAGTTTAAAATTCTCTAATTTATGGTTATATGAAATGATCTCAAAGATACAAAACCTAATTGAGGAACTAGGGAAATTTTTGAGTACAACAGCTCAAAAAGTATTTTCCTAGAAATTTTATTTTGAAAAATTCTCATAAAATTTTAATTCTTATAAACACCCATTCCTCTGCCCCCTTGCAAAAGAATTCCTGTGTTGAAATCCTAAATCCAATATGATGGTATTAGGATGTGGGGGCTGTGGAAGGTGATTAGGCCATGAGTGTCATGAATGGAATCAATGTAATATAAAAAGAGAACTGCCCGGCCCCTTCCACCAAGTGACACAGAGAGGCATCAGCCATCTATGAACTGTATGGCAGGCCTCTTCCCCAGCCTCCAGAACTGTGAAAAATATTTTTTTTATTTAAGCTGTCCATTCTAGAGTAGTTTGTTATATAGCAGCCCAAACAGACTCTAAGACACTAGGCAATTAAGCCTCCTTTTCCTCAACTTTGATGTTGCCTATTATTTGGACTTGTACTCTTATTTTTTTTTTTAAAGAGGATATTTTACAAGATGATTCACAGACATATTGAGATCATTTCCAAGCCTGACTCTGCCTCAGAATTTGCTGTTGTGATTTCTGAAATCTTGGACTTTACTAAATTCAAAATCTCCTGTATGTCTAGCTTAATGTCTATCCTACAAAAGTTCGCCTGAGTGATTCTGACATATAATCAGGTTTGGGAACCAGGAACAACACCATTTTATGGACAGAATTTCTTGTAAAACAGAGAAGCCCCAAAATAATGTAGCAATTTAGAAATTAACCACCAGTTGTATCTCTCAGGAAGAACTTTCTATTAATGTCTCACTGTAATACTGTGAATGTCTTCACACCCATTGTAATATATAAAGTCCAGAAAGTTCAATTTCAAGTACTTTGAGACTAGTCATTACAGTAATCACCTCTGAATCATCAGCATGGTTGTGCAGATCAGTTAATCTCTTGCAGCTAGCAGTAACCCAGTGTTAGTGAGACTATGCAACAAAGGACTTCTCTCTTGGGATCTGCTTATCTTTACACCTGCACTTATATGGCAGAGCCCCAGTTTGCTGACCTTCAAATTTTTTTCTTTCCTATTTGACTTTCCCTGAGACAGGGTTGGTTAGACAAGTTGCTCTTTAAAAGCAGGTCTGAAATATTAGGTAATTAACTTAGTTGTTACAATTTTTTTTTTTAAAGCTATTGCACTTGCTGGGCCAGTGGCTCTCACCTGTAATCCTAGCTACTTGGGAGGCAGAGATCAAGAGGATCTCCAAAGCCAGCCTGGGCAAATAGTTTGAGAGACCCTATCTTGAAAATACCCAACACAAAACTGGGCTAGCAGAGTGGCACAAGTGGTAACACACCTGTCAAACATGTGTTGAAGCCCTAAGTTCAAACGCCAGTGCTGCCAAAAAAAGCTATTGTGCTAATACATGTGCCCCACAGACTGTGATTACCATAAACTGCCCCTTTTATAAATTTTAATAACATGTATAGACTACTCAGAATCTCTGAAAATGTTTCTTAGAAGCTTAAGTACTGTGTACAATGGAAAATCCTGATCCTTTTATACCTAATAAGGTTCCACCAGGGCTGAAACAGTATTCAGAGGATAATCTGAAAATTTTTGACCTTGTACCAAGGATGTGTAAAGAGAAGGCTTCCTTACTATGAGATAAACTGACCCTGACTGGCAATCCCACTAGGTTAACTACATTTTTAAGCTGTCCCTTCCTTCACAGAAAAAGTCACAGTAGATAAAGTAGAAACTGGATTTAGCCCACCACGAGGAGGCCAGGCAAACACTTCCTGGGGGTCAGGGTTTGCTGTTGTCTGGTTTTTCTCTGCTGACTTTGGGAAATCCAGATCTCTGAGAGTCCTTAAAACACTTCAGGTGATGAGTTTCCTTCCACCTCAAACAATTCCGATTTTTCCCTACAACTTAAAAAGTGACTCACACATTTTTATAGGTATATAATAACTGCCTGGTTCTAATAAAAAATGTAAAATGTCTTTCTCACAGTGAGGTATTTTTAACAGCTGAATCCACTTCTGACTCAAATGCTGAGTTAAATGATTTGTAACTTCTGCAAGGCTAGAGTCCTTTGAAATGAGATAGTTAAACAAACTTGCTATTTATTTCAACCTCTTCTTCTATAAAAGGATTGGAAAGAAATAACCTAATAAATTAAAGTTGAAACTACAGGGTGGGCTGTTTTCAACAATTTCAAAAGGAAATCCCTGGATTGCAAAAACCAATCAGTGCTCTGGAACTTGAGATCTGCATTCCTGGGAGCGATGAGAAAAGCAAATCACAGGCCTTACCCAGACCCACTAATCAGAATCTGCATTGTAAAAGTGGATTCCCAGGGGACCTGCAAGCCTATTATAATTTGAGAATCACTACCTTAAATACAGTCTTCCAGAATCAGCTTTAGTAGTACCTTCTATAAGTATAAAACACAAAACAAAACAACAACAAAAAACCTCTCCCTCTTCACCCCCTTTGCCCAAATATGTCTTTAAACCAATTTTTAAAATTTATTTTATTTTTTTGGCAATACTGGGGTTTGAACTCTGGGCCTTACACTCACTAGGCAGGTGTTCTACACCTTGAACCAGACCCCTAGCCCTTTTTATTATTTTTCAGATAGAGACTGGCCTTTTGCCTGGGACCAGCCTCAGGTACCCACCACCATGATCAGCTTGCTTTGCTAACATTTTGCCTGGGCTGGTTTCAAACCGTGATCCTCCCAACCTCTGCCTCCTGAGTAGTTGGGATCACACATGTGCATCACCAAAAACCAACTTTTAATTCTTGTAGAAAAACCACTATTTGAAAATTTATTTAAAGGCACAGATTCAGTATCCTTTAACTGAGATTCTTGGGAACCAGAAGTGTTTTAGGTTTTTTCAGATTCTGAAATATTTACACATATTTAACATACCATGGGAATGGGACCCAAGTCTAAACATATATATCCTGCACATACAGCCTAAAGGTAATTTCATTCAGTATTTGTAATGTGCCTGTGTTCTGACCACCTGAGATCAGGTGTGGAATTTTCTACCTGCATAGCATCATATCAATGCTCACGAAGTTTTAGATTTTGGAGCACTTCAAATTTCGGTTTTTCAGATTAGGGATGCTCATCCAATACTAAACATCCAAATCTCACTGCCAGAAATTCTGATGAAATTCATCTGTCATTGGGTCTGGTCAAGAGGATTTAAAAAAAATACTCCAAGTAATTGTGACGTGCAGGCAAGTGGCAAGCACAGGTACCAAGTATTTTTGCTCTACATAGCAACTGTTAAATGCACAGGAGTTACCAATCAATTGACGCCTCCAAGACAGTCAGGTTCTCATGGTTTCTCCATCTGTAGCATGCATCAGAATCACCTGGCAGGCTTCCTAAAGGACAGATGGCTGGGCCGCATCTCCAAAGTTTCTGATCCACGGGTCAGAATCAGTAAGGTGAGGCCGGACAGTGTGCATTTCTAACAGGTTTCCCAGGAATACAGATGTACTCTCAGCAGACCATGCTCTTGAGTACCACTTTTTATCAGACTATAATACTTACCTCAGCAATCTAAGAAACAGCACCGAAGGCTTTGTCTGTCTGTGTGACTGGTTGTTTTTTAAGAGTAAGAGAGGAGCATTTTGGGTCTAGTATCATTCCCAGGGCCAGCAGATCCCAAGCTCCTGACTTGAGTGGAAGAGTGGGGGTGAAGGACATGAAGCCCTGACCTAGCGAAGTCTTACTGCCCAACAGTTCAGCATCCATCAGTTGCCTAATAAATTTCCTGATGACCAATGATCCCAAGTAAATCTATCAATTATAATTAAATTTGGTATCTACCTGTCTGTTGCCATAATGATTTTTACAACTAATGACATTCAGGTGAAATAAATTATTTTACTCACCAAACCCCACAGAGCACCAGGAGAGGTAGCAGTGATTGTAGCTGCTCTGGGTGTATTGTACATTAAGGCCAGTTCGCCGAAACTCCCACGATTATCATAGTTACCAACACATCTTCCAACACCATCACATTTTACATAAATGTCAAATGTTCCTCTGTTGAACATACGTAAATTGGAGGCAAAAGTAATTCAAGCAAAATCTAATTACAATGAGGCATTATTTCAGAGAAGAGTCCTGTGTAATGAAATTTTATCACAACCTATCTATTCCCTCTGATGGCATAATAAAAGGGCATCAGTGTGTTCTGATGAGTTCCAGACCATCGTAAAAGAACTATCACCTAGATGAGGGTGGGGGCCATGCATGTGCCTGCTGGGAAAACTGGAGCTACACAATAAAAATTTAAGATAAATAAATGATGAACATATAAGACCACAGCCAAATATGTGAGAAAATCATCTGAAGGAACATATATAAAACACTAACTGTACTTAGACCATAAGAATAGTGAGGGATTCCAGGGACACTTAACATGTAATTTAGGAGCTTGTGTTTCTAAAATGAACATGTATGACTTCTTTGAAGAAAGAAAATGACTTTTTTTTTTTTTAGGAAATAGCTATAATGATTTGTTTAGCTACCACTCTATAGAACTCACTAGAGGCCTTTCATAAATCTGTACCTGGGGTTGGCCCACAGACTGGCTGCCTGCATTTGTAAATAAAGTTTTATTGGAATATAAGCAAACTTGTTCCTTTATGCATTATCTATGTCTGGTTTTGACTGCAACAGCAGAGTTGAATAGTTGTTGCAAAAGAGACCATACTGGCCCACAAAACATAAAATACCACTTGCATTTTTGCACTGTTTTCTACATTTGTCACTTTGAGTAGGATAAAATATATAAATGAAATGTACAGATGAGAAGTAAACAAGCTACCAATCCAGCTGAAATCCTATCAGTCTAAAGTGTGTTATAATACTGTGGACTGCTTTTTCATACAGACTTCTTCTCTGATAATGGAGGGCCTCAGGCAGTGCAGAATCTCAGAAAGAACATGACCAGAGAGGCCAGGAGTCCTGACTGTGCAGCAAGGTCTAGACTGATCATCCTTGTGACCTTAACCCAGCCCTATTTCATCTATGGGTGATTAGTCTAACTGAAATAGAACACACTACATTTAAATGAAAGCCACTTTTTTGTAGTCAAAACTACCCACTTTAAAAAGTTTAATACTGTGTCATATTCCCTTATAATTAAACACAAATATCTGTGTGAATTTATTAAACTGTTGCATTGATGGAAGCTCTTAATAATAACCAAAATCACAACTCTTATTTACTTTACAAACTGAAGAAATACTCAGTTTAGTGTGCTCCCCTGCAATGTTCCAGGACTCATCTATTTCTCACAAAACTTAAGTTTTCTGAAATTAGATTTTCAATATAAATAAATGAGTCTTCTTACTCCAATAAAATGATTACTAGAATTTTTAAAGACAAATTTAATAACATACAATTTCTACAAGAACACACAAACTATCCTTCCTAATGACTGGACGATGCTGAAGCAGAAGGGAAGAAGCCTGGCTTTTCACCCTGTGCCCTCCGAAATACCTGAGTGCTTTTAAACATGAACATGTTTTACTCTCATAGTTATTAAAAAGAACTTTCTAAAAACGTAACACAGATTGAGTTCTGCTGTGACTTACTTTTACTCTCAACTTAATAAGCATCTACTCCATACTAGTACTATAACATACTATCTTCCAAATCAAAGTTAGCAAATGAGAATGTTCATATTTAATGACTTGCATTTATAGATTAACCAGATTAACATAGTTCATTTTTTTTAAGATAAACTATGATGATCCAGTGTGGTTTCACTGCATGTATTTGTGATAGGTTTACAATACCTCTCATGTAGCAACAAAAGTGAAGCAACAGCAACTATCAGGTTAACTTCTCAATTCTCATGATACCTGCTGAGATTTTACACAAAGGATTCTTTCAACTTCAGGAGTGAGATTGGACAAAACTTACCTATCAATTACGTAAAAGTTGTCACCATCATCACCTTGATCAATTACATGCTCCCCTTCTTTGACCAATTTTTCAAACATGGCATCTAATACTTGAGACATCTGCTCCTGTTTTTTTTAAAAAGATGAAATATAAAATATGTTTTCTTAAGTAACCTTAATATCCTTTTTTCTTCTGTGAAAGATCTCACAGAAATGAAGTATCATTGCTATTGTTTTGTATCTACACAGTGCCATCTTCCTTACCACATACAAATGATTATATATTTATTCTCATATTCAGTATTTGAACAAAAGTCATGATAATTAATTTAGTTCAGAACATTTGCAACTATCATCACTTTAAAATGAAAAATTAACCACCCAATCACCATATAACTTGTAAAATATAATCTTAGCAACTAAAACAACCAGGTTAGTAAAGAACTACTGCACACTTCTTTTTACAATGCACATTTTTAAAACTTCCCTATTCTCACTAGAATTTATGTAGAGGTTACTTAAAAACTTAGTGAATTTAGATCCAATCTTACTTTATAAGTTAGTGCCCAAAGCAAAACAGAGTAGAAAACAACAAAAAGCCAAACAAAAATGACTGTGGCAAATACTCTGTCATGATTCTTTGCCATTAAAAGGCAATCATCTACCTCTCTAGGGTAGATCTACAGAAAGCTGCAAGACTATATTGAATAAGTATTTAAATAATGTAAAATTTTTATTTGGCTTAAGTGTGGGTGACAAGGCTTAAGAATCAACTTCAGCTCATTGAGAATAAACTCTCAGATGAAAATGTTTTTTCCTAAGATCAAATTCAGGAACAATTCAGACCTCTGAACAGACTGACAAATAGATTTTGAGAAATAGCATGATGCAATAATAACAGCAAAGTCAAGAGACTTAGAGGGTTATGAGTTCTGAGTTCTTGGTTAAGTCCCTCTCTGAGTATAACAACCACTGTCCAGGCCAAATCAATTATTATTACAACCACATTGAGAAGTTGATAATAGATTGGGGAGGGGGGCAGGTGTTTACAAGCTGAAAACACAGCTTGAAGAAATCAGATAATTTGAATCAAGAGGATAAGATATCACATGTGATTCTTTTCCTTTTGAATCTCCATTAAAATTTTAACATGAAGATAGGAAATCACCAACAGTATAGAGTATGGGAAGGGACAAGTGATACACAAGAGATCCAAAGCAAAAGTGAGCTGAATGTGGCAGAGGGAGCTCTCCAACGTGGCACACGGCATTGCCGTGTGGAGGATCAATGTACCTAGCATGGCAATGGAAGTACTGGGAAGTACCTGGTCCTGTCAGGGTGGGACTGAAACACTAAGCTAATTTAGTCACACAGGAATCATGTGATACCTTTCTTCAAAATCCCTGTAACCTGAACACCACACCTAGTAATCAAGTATTGACCCAACTCTTCCCTCATACCCATTACACACACACACACACACACACACACACACACACACACACACACACACACGATGCTTAGAAAAAAAATCAGAGAAAAGTGGGTAGCTTGAAAATTTAAAAATTATTGCCAATTTTTTCCCTTTAAAAATTACTTAGAGCAGCTTTAGGTTCAACCGGCACACACAGCCCACGCACCCCTGATCACATCCTAGCACCATTTCCCATTATCAGAACCTCCCACCAGAGAGGCATATTTGGTACAACTGATGACATACCCTCTCTGATATCATCATCACCCAAAGTCCATGTTTGTGTCAGGGTTTGCTCTTGACAATGCACATTTTATGGCCTTGACAAATGTAAAATGACATGTATCCACCATTAGTGATTTTTTTAAACAAAGGAGGACAAAGTAAAATCAAAACCACAAAGAAAGTCAATAAACAGATCAAAAGAGGAGTTGGAGAAAGTAATGAGAAAACCAAAGGAAGAAATACGGGATAAATTTTTTAGAACCAAAGAACACAAGTCTTCAAACTGAAAGAGCACAATAAAGTGCCCTTCATGGTTGATGGCCAAAAATTCCATACAAACTTAATTTTTATCAACCCCTAGCAGTTCTGGAGATTGAACCCAAGGCCTCATGCATGCTAGGCAAACACTCAACCATTGAATTACTTCCCCAGTCCAACATAATTATTTTTAAAGCACCAAAGACATAATGTTTGTGAAGGCTTTGGGAGGGGAGGGTCTTAATATAAAAAGATGCTCAACTTCTCTGAAAATGAAGAGAAATGCAAACTAAGATTGAAATGACCTACCACTTTTCACTTGTCAGATTAAAAGAGATACAAATGTTATAATAGATATTCTATCGGAGATGTGGGAAGACTTCTGATGAGAAGGTAAAGTGGCGCAAACTCCACAGAAAGAAACCTGACAATGTTCACTAAGACTTCAAATACACAAACCTTTTCCCCTCCCTCACAGAGTTATTCTATGGCTATTTGTGATGACACATGCACCCACATTTTCCACTGCATCATCCTAATAGCATAAGAGACTGGAAACAAAACTAATGTTTAGCTACAGGGCACTGCATAAATACATTACAGAATGATGTGGGAATTCTCAGACATCGACATTTCAAGGGAGTCACTGGCAATGAGGGGATACTCAGAGAGATGTAATCAGGAAATTGCTTGCCATGGGGAAATTACTCACAAAAAGGGGCAGTTAGGTGAGAGAAAAGAAGACTTGCATGTGAACACCTCAGCTATCTGCTGTCACACCAACGTAAGATCTACAAACCAGCACTGAGACCACATTGGAGCTGTTTCATGGAGATTTGAGCACTATGTAAATGGTGGGATTGGTGCACTGGATTTTGGCCATTCTGATAGGTGTGCAGTGGTATCTCATTGCTTTAAATTGCATTTCCTTGATGTCATATTCTGTGGAACACCTTTTCATATGCTTACTTATCACCTTACGTCTTCCTCAATGAAATCTCTGTTAAGGTCTTGGGTCAATTTTTTATGCAGGTTGTTTTCTTAAGTTTTAAGAGTTTTTAGGATACAGTTTGTCAATGCAATGCCTATAATGTAATTTGCTGGGATTTTTATTGGGATTGCACCGACTCTATAGATGAAATTGGGAGGAACGTATATCTTGACAATATTGAATCCTCCTATCCATGATCTTGGAATAGCTCCATTTTATTTAGTTCTTGTGGGGTTTTTTTCCTCATCAGAGTTTTATAATTTTCATTACATAAGCCTTAAATATTTTTGTTAGATTTATATTTAAGTATTTCATTCATGGGGATAATGTAAATAATATGTTTTTAATTCAACATTCCACTTGTTCATTGTTGATATTAAAAAGTGATTGACTTTTATTTATCAACCTTGTATCTGGCAACCTTTCTGCTATTGTTGTTGCTAATTCTGTCATTAGATAATCCTATCTATGAACAAAGATAGTTGTATTTCTTCCTTCTCAATAAGTACACATTTATTTCCTTTTCTTATTGCATTTGTTTGGACTTCCAAGTACAATGTTCAAAAGAATGGTGGGAGGGAACTACCATTTTTTATTGAGGTAAAGTCACATAATATAAAATTAGCCACTTTAAAGTGAATAATTCAGTGGCCACAGTTCTGTAACCACCACCCCCCCATGTACTTCTAAAACATTTTCATCACCCCAAAAGGAAACCTCTCACCCATTAAGCAGTCACTTGCCCTTGTCTATCCCTACTCTTGGAAACCACCAGTCTGATTTCTTTCTCTATAAAGTTATCTATTTTGAATATTTCAATGTAACAGAATCATAAAATAGGCAAACTTTTGTGCCTAATTTATTTCACTTAGCATGATGTTTTCAAAGTTCATCCCCATTGTAGCATGCGTCATACTTCATTTCTTTTTCAGAACAAATAATATTCCATTGTATGTGAACAGTACAATCTGTTTATCCATTCTCATATAAGTAATGTGTGCTGACTGCACCACTGGAACTCTTGTTATTCCATTCTCTAACAACGGACATTTGGGTTGTTTCTACTTTCTCACTACTGTGAACAGTGGTGCTATGAACATATGTATAAAAGTACTTACTTGAAGAAGTATTTGTTCTCAGTTCTTTCGGGTATTTATTTATGAGTGGAATTAAAGGATCATATTGTACCTCTACATTTACTGGATCATATGATGCCTCCACATTTAACTTTCTGAGGAATCACTTAGCCATTTTTCACAGCAGCTGAATCATTTTACTTTCCCACTAACAATGTCTGAGGGTTCTCATTGCTCCGCAGCCTCACCAACATTCGTTATTTTCCTTCTTTTTTAATGATAGCTATCCTAGTGGGGATGAAGTGTTACTTCATTTAGTTTGGGTTTACATTTTCCTAATGACTAACCATGATGAGAATCTTTTCATTGGTGTTGGTTGTTTGTATATCTTCCTTGTGGGAACAGCTATTCAAATACTTTGCCTATTTTTAAATTGAATTGCCTTTTTGATGTGATATTGTATTATTTATAAATTTTGGATACTAGATCTTTATCAGACACATGATTTGCAAACATTTTCTTCTACTCTATAGACTGTCTTTTCAACTTTTTTGGTAATGTCCTGTGATGCATAAAATAAAGTCTAACATTTATGTAAAGTCTAATTAAAATCTTTTGCTTCTGGTATCTCAGAATCCATTGCTAAATCCAAGGTCATGAAGACTTACCGCTGTGTTTTCTTTAAAGAGCTTTATGGTTTTAGCTCTTCAATTGTCAGTCTTTGATCCATTTAAGTTAATTTTTGCACATAGTATGCACAGGAGCCCAACTTTGTTTATTTATTGTTGTCCCAACACCATTTGTTAAAGAGACTATGGTTATCCCCACTGAATGGTCTTCACCTTTGTTGAGAAGCAATTGGCCATGAATATATAGGTTTATTTCTGGAACACTCAATTCCATTTCATAATTGTGTATGTCTATCCCTATGCCAGCACCACAATGTTTATTACTGTAGCTCTATAGTAAGTTTTAAAATTGTGGAATGTAAGTCCTATAGTTTTGTTCTTCTTTTTCAGTATTATTTTGGTCATTGCACTCCCATTATGTATACAATATTAACACAGTGGACATCAGCAAAACACTAATGTAGACCTAACAT